ACATCTTCAAATAACAATGGAAGGTTGTCGGTCGAGACAAAACTTCTGATTCGCGAGGTTCTGGAGGAATCAGGCAGCCTGGAATATACGAGGGGAGTAATTCGGGGCTTGTATGACGAGACAAGAGCCGTATTAAACGCACTAGAGAACGAATCTGGGCCGGGTGGCAAGAATTGGATGCTACGGTTGCTTACTTTCCAGTTGAAAATCTAAGACATAGACAATAGCTAATACCTCAGTCAAAATCCGCTTCGCCTGCAACTCAATCATGCTCTTATTAGGTTTAACAATAGTATTTCTAATCTTGAAGCTTAGTACCTTTACATTGCAAAGATTAAATTATCAGTAATGTATATATGGTGAGTTGTATATCGGTTCGACGTTGTCATTCGTGTACGCTGGCAATGAGTCTGAATAAGATTTGCATTCCTTGATAAAGAGCATTCAATATTGATGGGACGCACCAGGGCACTGATGACGCCTTCAGGTCATCGATGACGGAAACATCCATAGGCAATTTCCTGCCTGGAGAAATGGAGGGTCTTTGGGTTTTCCTTCCATAGCAGCCACCCCATTTGGGATTTGGGCTCGGTAGCGATCTTCTGCACAATCTTGGGCAGGATAGTTAAAATCAGATCCATTTAATGATTGCCTACGTCGCGCCTGTAGTTCTCCAGAGATGACTGGCTTTGACGACCAAGAGGGCCAGTGACAACTGCATCTTTACCCAAGGGTTGTGAGTCCAGTCTCATCAACGTCTCGGTGTGGCTTGACGTTCCGGTATCACCCCAGGAGAAACATGTGCCAAATGGCCCGCAAGCGCAGATCTCGGTTCAAAGATCTTTTCGCAGCCTAGTAGACATCGATATGTGCAGATATGATGTTTCAACATGTTTCACATCCTTTCGTCAAGGCCCAAGAGGGTATTGTCAAAAACTGGGAGATTTCTGGCGAGACAAGCTGTATGGTCTGACATTTACCAGCACGTGCTTTCTGACGGTTGTCCATATGTCTGGACTTACTTCCACGAAGCTGCAGTATTCACGAAAATTTCTGTGTGACAGTAGGGACATTCCACGTGCTTTTTGATCCCGCAGTCTGGTAGCTGTTAATATCTTATGCCTGTTTTTTTTCCCGTACCTGTCGTATCCGTGCTCTTCCTGATACTGTCACTAAGGTCTGATGAGGTGCTTGGGATTCTCGCCGCTTCGAGTAGGAGTCCTCGCCGACACCGTCACCCGATGCGTTATCCTGTTTCTCGACTTTTGAGGGAACCGTATCACTGGGCACAGACACGCGTTGACGTGTGCATCCATGGGTGCTAAGATCCAAGCCAGAAGCCTTGTGATGCTGAAAGTGCTCAAATTTTCGTGATATAGCTCTTCCTAGGGTGAGATAAATACTCTTCAGCTGCTGTAAAACCATCATATGCGTGTTGCATATCCAATAGTTTCAAGCCGACGGGGTTTTCCATTCCTGAAGCCAGTATATGATTAGGAGGTGCCGGTTCTTTTATTGAAGCGGTGAGTCTTATTAATCTGCCAATTGTATACGTAATGTCTGCTGGCAGCTGCGGAGTGCTAGTCTCACAGACCACACTCTTAGCGATCAAGCACGTCAGGAAGCTTGAGGTAAAGTGGGAATCGAACAGACTCGTCGGAGGAATCTTTGCATGCAACCTAGAAGCGTTCGAGGGACTCGATGATGCTCGAGGCTAGATTCGCAATGATACTGGCCATTGCTACAAGGATGAAGAGGAGGTGCACAATGATATTGAAACGCGTAAGTTTTATGATGGTTTTTTGGATGTTCGGTTTGGTTTGCAACGCTTCAGAATGAACATGTGGTGGCGAAATGACACATTTCTTGAGGATGGCATTTGCACTTGCTTGGGCAACGGCCAGCCCAGCCCAGGACTCTTCCAACGTATGAAAGGATCTAAAAGCCGAGGATTATATGTAGGCGTCAGTATCCAATCAGGAGATACTAGTTGACAACGCACGATACATAAATTGATAATCTATATTGGAGGGTATTGCAGGCTTACCAGTGGAAGGTAGGCAGAGCTGCCGTTTCACGACCCAGTAGATGGAGGAAAGGAGAACAGCTCATCAGGAACCTTGTGCTTGGAAAAGAATTTGCAGAAAAAATGACATTGGGGGAACATAAAGTAAAGACCATATCTGGGATCAAGGTGGCAGACGCTGTGCTTCGGAGCATCTCGCTTATCATCTCGGCCCTCGAATACTATCAACGAAGCAAAGAGGTCATTAGCATATGGTGTAACTACGATCAAGAGCGGACTAGTCTCATCCAAAACCCCAAGGTAGAGCGGTTAGGCTATAAGACGTTTGAGGGAGGTTCCTCATTGGTCTCGTGCCATCTTGCCAGATCGAACGCATGATTTACAAGGCCTTTGACCCATCATGGTGTCAAGAAGACGTCCAGACGAAGATCAAAGGCTGAATGGGAGCATCTTCCGTCGTGTTCGGGGAGATCATGAGAGACATGGAGGCGGTGGTCAAGGATGTGGTTCGAAGTCCGAATCTAGAGCCTGAAGAGGTGGTAGTGGACGCCCCGGCGTTTTAGTTTCTCGCTGATCATAAAGATAGGGGCAGGCCTGCGCTACGGGATAGTAGTTCGAACGCGCTAGTTGCGTATTCAAGAAGCCTGACTACAAGACCTCACTTGATGCCATTCGAAAGGATATCACAGGCCTCGAGTAAGTGCTGAAGCAAAGTCGCGAAAAACCAATAATACAGAGCCACCGCTACCATTCAGCAACCAGCATTTGCGCCCAAATCCAGTACTCACTCGTCTTTGAGCATCACTCAGGCTGTTGTCAAAGCTCTTCCATGAATCGATCTGTGCGCTGAGCTCAGTTGAAACCAAGCGCGGGACTCGTCAATTGTTTAAGGTCTCTGACCGGACTGAAACCAATGTTTGTGGGGAGAGTCTGGTCGAGCGGTTCTCGACTTGAGCGACGGTGGCTTCAAACAAAGAGTCTATCATGTCAGAGGCTGCGATCGTATGGAGGAAAGGAGGCAACAAGAGGTGTAATAAGAGGTCAATTGTGACGATTATTTGCTAGATCTCTTGCGGAACAACATCTTGTGTGCCCTTCGGCCCACATTAACCCCTTCCGGCTCTACCGCCGGTCCCGCTCCGGTGCCCGCCGGTGCTCCCCTCCGGGCAACTGGCATATGCGCAGGTTATGTTTCTGGAATACGACTACAGATGCGACTGAATCGTATAGGGCCTGAGCTTATATAATCTGAAGAGCCTGGTTGGGCTAAGGACGGAGTGAGTTGCCCGTCCTCACAGATATACCAGGTATGGGCTGGATTAAGAACATAACTCAGCTGATGCGTTCAAGCAGGTTCGATATCCCAGTTCAAATGCTTAATCTATCGATCGTGTAGAGGATCAGAGACATTCAGGGAAACAGCATTAGTATAGAAACGTTCAATGACCATGGTCTTGGTTCTCTTGGGTCCGTCGTCTGCTGTTACTTTGTTCTCGTTTTCTCAGGCAACCTCAAGCAACCAGCGTGGGGCCGTTCAGGTCCGGCGGTCACGTGAGAGAAAAGCCACATACACCTCACCGGGAGTTACCTCGGTGAGGGTTTTGAAACTGACCATCCCACAACAAAGCCAGTCTGGTGCCACCCCAACCCCCGTCCAAAAGCCTGACACCGGTCGTTCGACTCTTTCCCACTATCGAGAAGGGTTTAGAACATACAGATAGTTTTGTTCCCCCACAGTTCGCATCCGCTGTTGCGCTCCCCCCTCGCACACAACTCACCACAACCTTCATCAACCATTATCAACCATCGTCACCGATACCTACACGTCAGAAAAGCCAAAAAGGCTGATCCCCACCCGATTTGAACGGATAACCTTTCGATCTGGAGTCGAACGCGCTACCGTTGCGCCAGAGGACCGTTTGTGGCTATTTCTTGTTGGAAGGCGGGAGGAAAATGCCGCATGTGAAGGCCATGCGGCCCGGACGGGATTTCTTTGCACAATTCCTGTGCGGCAGCCCCTCAGAACCCCACTTGGATGCCGCCGTGCGGGGTCGACCCCATCAGGACTACCAGACGCGGTGAACCTTAACCACCACGTGGGCGAGACATCAAAGCTGCATACCTAGACCTCTCCAGCGGAACTCATGGCGAACTTGCTGAGCATCGAGCTTACAATGGAATCTCTGAGGTCGGGCTCGTTGTACCCGCGTCCCCACAATTTCGTCGGGGTCCTGAAGAGTTGTCAGAGACTCTTGCCCACCAACGCATATGCCATGCTCACAGAGATGCCCATCAAGCAAGTCCAAGCTCGTCCCGTGCTATACCGCAACCCGTTCGACAATTTGATACAAGCAAATGATCGGCATGTATTCAACTTGTGATACCGGCGGCTAGCTCGTTGCCGGTTGGTTGGGGTGTGCTCGGCGGCCCGATGGTTACAGGTTGCCTGCATCGGAGATTCGTTGCCGTCTTCGGCAGGCGACAAGAACCTCCTTGTGCGACCATACACTTTGGTCACGCACGGTGATCAGCGTCCGCCTTGTTGCGGCCGTTGTTGTGGCTGTTGTTGTCATTTGTGCTTTTGGTAGCTGGCGGCCACACGCGCGACTTGACCACCTTCGATGGGCGAGCGAAGCGATGAGTTTGCGGTTTGACTGGCTACGCTGATTGAAATGCAAATTAAGATGTCCAGTGGAAGTGGAACTCGTCGTCACTCAGATGTCATTTACAAGATTCAGACTGCTCTTAATAGCCACCCCTGAGCACATGGGCACTTCTGACGCATCAATCGAACCGCGAATTCCTTTTTTATGTACTAGAGAGTCATCATGAGAGTGAATCAAGCCTCTCGCCCCCTGCTAAGTATAATGTATATGCATGAAGTCGTTATGAAGCGAGCCAATTGGGCTGCCTCCCAGTCATTAAAGCGATATTCCCCGCATCCTCACCACCCCTCGTATATTCACGGCTGCCCCTACACCGCGGCATTGGCGAGGTTGTTGGTAAAGCTGCCGTCCTTCATGGGCACGTTGGCGCTGCCAAAGTCGGTGTTCTGGAGAGCGGTGCGGGCGGCGTCGGTCAGGGACTCCCACGCGATGAGGGGCTGCTGGCCGCCGGTGACGCTGGTGAAGACCATCTGGTGGTTGAGGGGCCAGATGCTTTCGTAGCCGAGGCGCGAGTGGGTGTCGTCGGTCACTTCGAAGCCGGAACTCCTCGCGTCGTACTTGCCGTGGGCCGAGGCGGAGACGCCCACGATGGTGGCATTCTCGCTCATCTCGGACAGCCAGACGACGCCGTTCTCCCAGTCGTGGCGGTGGCCCAGGCCGGGCGAGGGCGAGTCCTTGGGCATGTAGTACGCATACATGATGGCGTAGAGGCCGTTGTAGGTGCCGGCGCGGGCGTAGACCTGGCCGGTGCTTTTGCTGCAGTCGCCGTCCGAGGCGCCAGTGGTTTGGAGGCCAGCGCTGAGTCGTGTGTTAGTCAAACGTGCGAGTGACACGGGGGGAGGGGGGGCAGAGGGGGCCCTTGAGTAGAGGAAGAAGAGGAACATACCCAGTGTTACCTGCGGCGTCGACGGCAGGGAAGGGCACGCAGCCGTTGAAGACCTTGAGGTAGGGCTTGTACTTGAGGTACAGTTCGCCGACGAGGCCTGCGGGGACGGTCTCCGGGAAGCCGACAACTTGATCGTGATCGATGACGGCGCGGCGCTCAACAGGGGAGGCCATGACAGTGCCGGCTGCGGCGGCGAGCCATGAGGCGAGGCGGAAGACGGAGGGAGCCATTGTGGGTTAAGAGAACACGATCAGGGTATCGGAGACGGAGGATGCGGCGGCTTGGCAGTTGTCTCTAGTGATGCGATGGACTTGGAGCGATGAAAATGAGCGTGAGGAACGACTGATGGGGTTCGTTCCTGCATTCGGCAGCGTCGCCCTGGTCTTATAGTCTGGCACCTCGCCCTCCTTCTTGTCTCGTCGCGGTACACGATCCGTACACGAGGCCGAGATGAAGGGGGTACCGGCCACACATGGGTCTACCCCAAACGGGCAGCCCAAGTGTCCAATAACCCATGATACCATCATCTCGGAGCTAGGATTGTGATCACTAGAGCTCCTTCTTTGGCCCCTGGACTCCGCTCGTGGCACGACAGGGCCACGCAATTGGGACAGTCAGAGCCGGGATCTTGATGCCTTGTGCCGCGTGTCGGTAGTATCGCCGACGCCCACTCTCTGCCTGTTGACCAAGAGCAGCTTAGAACGTGACCCCCCTCGATGTCCGCCCCGCGTCGTAGAGTTGCATGCCGCGTTACGCTGTCGTCTGGTGATCAAGCATCAGACCAGGAACAGAAGGCAGGTTGGTGGGAGCCGGGTGCTGGGCACCACTAAGAACATGAGAGTGGTCTGCAATACGGATATTGAATGACGACTACTATGTGTAGTAGTTTGGGTGCCGAGACGACCCCTGTCGTGGTTCCTGCATCTGGCATGTTGTCCGCCGCCAGTCCCAAGTGATGCAACCTCGACCCTGGCCGCCTCCCCGCTCGCCGGTATCAAGAGCTTGGACGAGCTTGGACGAGCCTGGCCAGTTGGCGTCGGAATCTGTTCGCGTTTCTTTTCGTTGGGCCACTTGGGTTTGATTCAAGCGGGGGTACCAATCGGGAATTCGGACGATTTCCGTCACATATCGATCAAGACGGGGCATCAAGATTGTCCAGGTCATTCCTCCTCCTCAAGCAGCGACTCTCAGAATTGCTTAGGCGGTTGCAGGCGCTGCCCACCCTTTTGCAACCGTGGTCGGCGTGAAACGGCAAACCGGTTATGGAGATTGACAGTTTCCACGGGTTCGACGATACGGTTCCGACGACCCTTGACGCGAGGAACACATGCGAAGAAGAGCATCATAACGAGAACCAACACATTACATGGCATTCCTTCCGAGGAACGAAATCAGTGGTTGCGAGTTTGTAAATATGATCTGGAGTAAACGCACCCTAGAAAGAATTAAGGTCGCCTGACAGGAAGTTAGATGTGGTCAAGGCGCCCGACAGTCAATATTGCAATATACACGAGTCAGGTTTCGGTACCAACCGGCGCTGTGACCGTACCAAATACCTCCTTCGATGGGTTTAGGGGGGTTGCTCGTGCGGACCAGATTTAAATTACATACACCGGATATCGGTGCTCACGCGCACATGGGACAGGAATGTAACGGTAGCCAGGAGGGACCATCGATAAGGTTAAAATGAAGAACCAATTGCCATGGTTGCCGACTTATTGCCATAGCGCCGTCAGAATGCGGAATATGGCGTCGTGGCTATGTCCTCCGCGAGTCAAGACAGACAAATACGATTGTTGCATCATTAATACATAGATCTGCCGAGAGAGGTACTGAGATGGGTATCACAAGCTTTCCGAACATCCTAATCGTAACCCGGGACGGGTTTTCGTCCTCCAAAACTCAGGGATAACCCCCTTGGGGCGCCTCGCACGACTCCCCGTTTTTGCCATATCAAGACGGCCGTCGAACCACCATGATAGATAAAAGACAGACACCGCCTCAGCTAAAGTCCCACGATTCTCCCCACAACTCGTTCAAGTTCAATCCCAAAGCTTCAAGACTAAAGTCGGGATTGAACGACTGCGCCTTTGCCAACACACTGTCAGCGACGAGTGCTGGGGAGAAGTCGCCATGGAAACTCACCTGCGGTTCGATGGACGCGGACATCCACGGAAGCGGCTGAGGGAGGAGCCCGTCGACGGGGTTCTGCGACGGCGGGTAGCCCTGGAAGGAGAAGGGCGTGACCGACTTTGATAGAAGAGTCAGCAACTGCGCGATATCTGACGACGACAACGCCGCCGAGAAAAAGTCTGGAATGCTCACCTTTGATCTCTCTGGGACCTCCAAGCCGGGAATCTTGGAGAGTTCCGACGGCTGGCTCGATACTGGGGGCTCCTGGTTCGCCAGCAGCTTGTAGTGCAGGTTGACGAACCGCTCCGCGGACGAGGCCTTGGCCTGCTCGGTGGTCTTCGTGCCCAGATGCGCCTCGAGCAGGCCGAGTGCCGAGCACATGATGGAGTAGCCCCACGGCTCGGTGTTGCCGCACCGGAGGAGCCTGTCTTCCTTCATCGAGAGGCACTTCTCGAGAAGCTTGACCGTGTGCTGCGAGTTTATCATGATCATGTTGGTCGAGCCGCGCGGCTGCAGCATGGTGACGCTGCAGAGGTTGACGGCTGTCGTGAGGGCGTCCTCGCGGAGGAAGTTGAGGCAGCGGATGCCTTGCTCGTAGAGCTTGTCGTGCAAGAGGACAATGTCTCGCGCGGCGTTGTAGTATATGATTTCCGAGTACTGGTACTTGGCGTTGGACTTGCGCAGCTTGAGGAAGGGTTGGTGCAGGGGGATGATGTACTGGCGGAGCTGGATGTGAAGCAGGGTGTAGGCGAGGAGCGGCCGCTTGCCGCCGTGCGTGTTGTTGTTGTTGTGTTCCCAGGAGGGTAGAGAGTCGATTTCGTGCGTGATGTCGTTCGTGTAGCGGATGACTTGGTCGTAGTCAATCTCCCCCGGCGGTCCGCAGAGAAGCCGGCTCAGCTCCATACGCAGGGGCAGGCTCTGACGGGCCAGGTTCTGGTACGAAGAGTACGTGTACTCCTTCCCGTGCTTGGACGGGGGCAGCTGCGTCGTGTCCTCGTCAAAGTCCTCGTCGTCCAAATTCCTCGGCGGTTGCACGTCGTAGTGCAGCTGGCTCACCAACGTGGGCAGGCCGTGGTCGAAGGACGCCTGCATGTCAAACTCCTGGACCGTCGCCCAGATCCTCCGCCTCATTTCCTGGTTATACACCGAGATCTTGCCCGACATGTGGCTGGGCTCCCTGTGCAAGCCGACCGAGATTCCATCTTGAATGAGGGCGCCCGAGTTTGTCCAGAAGCGCTTCTTCTTCAGCGTGTTTACGCGCTTGCTGAGATACAACAGGCAGGCGATTTGGTAGTGGATGAGCTTGCGGTGCTTCATGCTCTGGCGGCTCTGCCACTCTTCAACGGCCTTGATCCACTTCTCGGCAGCGGCATGCGCGTTGGAAATCATGCCCGTGAATCTCAGAGACTCATGAGTGTGGATGCAGTTCGTTACGGCGCAGATTGCCAAGACGAGAGCAGTGAGTGCGGCGTAGCGTGATTCGGTCGGGTTCTCCCAGAACTGTGAGTATTCCCGACGGAACGTGGGGATGTGAACGATGCGATGCATCTGCTCAAATTGGTCAATGTAGACCTCCACCAGCGCGTCGCAGTGGTCCTTGGGCGGAAGCAGAGACTCAAGATGGGGGTCGGGCTGAAGGTAAAACTTGTCCCGATCCTCCTTGCGCTTCTTGCGGTCTTTGCGGTCGTGTGCCTTGACCGGCTTCAGCCACTCATCGGCCGTCTCCTTCATAAAGGGACACAGGCCAGTCAACTAATAAAAGGATCAGACGAGTGCTCAACATGGGCAGAAAGAGGCTCTCGGAGCCTTTTCCAAGAGGCTTACCTCGATGAAGGCCATCGTGGCGTTGTGAGGGCCAAAATACCGCGTCCTGAATTCCTTGCCTCTGAAGAATCGGAGCTCCGACTTGTCCCCATCGCTGTACTGATGCCAGCAGGACTGCAGTTCCGAGTTGTTGGCGCAAGGGTCCGGGGGAGTTTCGCCAATGTCATCCTTTTGGGTGTGCGGTGAGTTCGTACCGGCTATGGTGCTTCCGTCGAATGAAGACATGACCTGTCGTGTGAGCTGGGTTTTGAGCTGAGAAACCTCGAGCTCCAGGCGGCGGATGCGGTCATGGTCCTTGGCTGCCTCGCGAATGACGGACATGTCGGCCTCCTTGCCGGGCATGACCAATTCGCCGTTCCTCCGTGAATCGAGCTGGGCAAAGGCAGGCGGGACACCGGAGCTCGCGTTCAAGACGACTCCCGACTTGGTCTCGTAGGTGCAGCGGTCGGGGGTGCCGCTCTTCAGACACCGCTGGCACGGGTAACCTCTGTCGCAGGACAGCTTCCTCCGACGACACTCGAGGCAGCTCAGGCGTACCCGCTGGCGCTTGCGGGGATGCTGCGAGTTCTCGTCGTCATCACGAGAGTTGGTGGGCGACAGACTCCCTGCTTCATCCACTGAGGGAGACATTGCGCTGTTGTTGGCTGGATTCATTCTCGAAGGGCGGCCCGGGTATGGCACAGTCAGTACGGTACGGCACGCAAGGCGAAAAAAGTGATCGAAAACGAGGGGGAAAATGGCGCGCGCAGGGGATGGCCAAGGGCATGGTTATATCATAAGGTACGAAGTGACAATCCGGACAAAAACGGTCAGACTCCGGACCGGAGAGGGTACTTTTGTTGGCTACCGTTGTTTGCTGTCAAGATGTGCCCTCGAAAATCAAGGGAAGAAACTTGTCCCTGTCAGTCGTTGCCACATACCACCGAGGGCCGAGGGCTGTGCTGTCGACGCGTTAACAGACGACTATGCATGAATCGCGGTTCATGCGTTAAGACACAAGGGAGGTAGATTATATAATCATGGTGATTCCGAGCGCCGAGGTGTCATCGCCGAGCTATCCCGAGGGATGGCGATCCACTTTAAGTCTCTAGGAATACCGGTAGGTACCTAGAGGTGAGTGAGCATTGTGGGGCATCTGATAAGATTAGATCGGGCCTTCCCTCCCAAATGTTTCCATTCTTGACTCACACTATCCGTACAGGGGTTTAGATCAGATAATTTTTTTCAATCCCTCCATACCTAGCCCACAAGCCTGACTCCAACAAAAGATCAGGACATGCATGCATGGGATACGCCGATGCAGGACTCGCGGTTCCCTTCAGTTCCACTTTGATCGGCATGCCCTCTGTCTACCATCATCCACGACCACCCACAACCATCACCGTCGTTGGCCTCGAAGAAGGACCCTATTCTCGTAAAGGGACCGACAATAAGCAGACGACGACACGACGAGGCTAAACAGAGCACTCCAATCCGGAGCCGGCGGATGGCTCTCTTTAAAACATGCAAGAACATTACTAGTAGTGTACGGCCATTCCAGGATCGCCTGCTCCATCCGTCCTGGCAGGCCACGCAATTCATCAAGGGCTTTGCCACACCGACTGAGACTAGCTCTGCCGACCGAGCCGGCCACTTCGAATGGGTCCGTCTCCGTCAATGCATAATGTTTGTTCGTCATTCAAACCACGCACACGCTTGGCGGCTGTTCGCTCTTGACCTGCGTTGACACCAATTGTGGACAATTGACATGGCAGATGGACTGATCAACTCCGAAATGTCACGCTCCCAACAGGGCCACGAGGGGGGAGGGTGAGTGGTTTTTATGTCCACGCGAGCTTACAGCCCCAACCTCTTCAGCCCAAGACATGGGACCAGGAGCATCAATTCGAGGCCATTCATCTTTCCTTGAAGATGGATCCACTTTCCAGCTCCAATGACGCGAGCCCCCCCCCCCCCCCCCCACACCAGTCACAGAAGGTCTCTGGAGGACGCCACAGAGGCTTCCGAATCGCCTTGTCCAGGTTTTCTTCAACCCAACAGAGTCTTTATCAGATCTAGACATCCCTGCCAACGTGGATCATTTCTCGGAAAAGTTGTGTGCATGGGCCGACGCGAGTTACCGTACCTACTGTGCCACAATGAGGCGTCGGGGAGTTTCAAGGAGATCGACATCAAACACCGCACGGGATGATTACAAGCTACGCGACACAGGGCCACCAAGGACCCCCAGTGTGCTGTAGCATGCTGAGACGCACCCGGGGTAGCTGCGAGTCCGTGGGGGCTACAATGTCTTGGAGCATTTCCGTCGCGAGAAACCGCGGCTTTTGCGCCGGAATAAACAAACACTTCACCGCACTCTTGTTCCTCGAGATCGTCACTTGACGACTGCAGCGCCACAACGTGCTCGTCCGGCTGCAATGCGTCTTTCTTTCATTTCTCTGGCCGGATCGCTGGCGATTGTCGGAGCCACTCACATTGGCGGCAGAGCTTTCGATCGCTACATCTCCATCTGGCTGGAAAATCAGGTATGTGAGCACACATCACCCTGTGGGCAGCTCTCACTGACTGGCATTGCTTGCCCAAACAGGACTTTGTCAAGGCCGTCCAGGATTCCTCGATTGCCGATCTGAAGAAGGAGGGGATTTTGTTGTCCAACTACTATGCGCATACCCACCCAAGTCAGGCCAATTATATCGCGGCACTCGCCGGAGACTACTTTGGCATGAACCACAACGACCGGGTGCGACTGCCACTCAACGTGTCCACCATCGTGGATCTTCTCGACTGGCGCGGACTGCCATGGAAAGCATACATGGAGGACATACCTGGCCCGGGGTACATGGCCGCGGCCAGCGACGGCCAGACTGGTGATGGCAAGTGGGACTACGTTAGACAGCACAAGTTTGTTGCCCCGTGAGCGTTGCCGGGTCTGCGGATGCTAACCATCGAGAAAGCCCGTTCGTGTCGTTCGACTCCATAAACCTCAACGGTAGCCGACTACTGAAAATCGTGGGTTTCGATGATTGGAAGGCCGACTTCGAGAAGAAGGAAGTGCCTCAGTGGGTATTCATGTCCCCCAACATGATGAACGATGGCCATAATACATCCCTGGAGTATGCCACCAAGTGGGCGCACGACTTTCTGATGCCAATGCTGCCGCAAGGCGTCTTCAAAGAGCGCACGCTAATCCACCTAACGTACGACGAATCAGAAGACCACGAGAAGCCGAACCAGATTGTGTCATTGTTGCTCGGCAGTGCGATACCTAAACAGTTGAAGGGAACAGAGGACAAGACGTTTTACACCCACTACTCGATGCTATCGACAGTCGAGTACAACTGGGAGATGCCGAATCTGGGCCGATACGACGTGGGCGCCAACATCTTCAAGTTCGTACAGGATCTCGGCAGCCAAATCATCGTTCCGAACAAAGATCCGCCCAACATGGCTTCTGTGAATAACTCGGAATCTTATTTTGGGGCGCTCAACAACGATACGAGCCGATTCCGCCCTTATCCGCCCCCCAATCTTGCCCTCAACGGATCCAGCGGGCTTCCAATTTTGGACCACGTCCGCCTGCAATGGGTCTATCATGAAGAGCCGACACCGTACGATGGAAGCGGTACTCTCTACGACGCCAACTTCCAGCCTCAGTACATCCCAAAGCCTGTATAGAAGGATCGATTAGACAGGCGAGCTCGACAAGGGCACCACGACGAGCCTTGATGGTTCCGTTGGCCAGGATCCTCGCTTACTCGCAGCATCATGACGCCCCTGACTCTCCTCGGTATGCCAGACATGCATTCGATAAATATGGCTGCCTCATCAGGCCTTTTCCTTCCAACATGAACCCACTAAGCCACTTGTGGGGGACCTCCGGACCTCTGACCTCAGTTGTCGGTTCTCCTGATGACAAAACTGCCCTTATCTAGAGCTTGTTTCTTGGCGCTACGAGCGATCTGCCTGATCAGCACAGGGTCTATAACGGCACAAACAATAATGAAAGACCCGGGATTCATATTTCGCCCATTCTTGGCCTTTACTTGTGCCTGGAGTCCATCAGCTTTATCGTAGCGAGCCAACTTAGACTCCTGTGACCGGATCAATATCTATGACCGGAAAACTCGCCTGGCTTGGCTATTATCAGGTTACTGCTTCGAGCGGATGCTCAGGCGGACTCTGGCAGATTTGCTTCTCGGATTGCTCGGTTCCCACTGGCCTATGCTGGAGCAGGACCTAGACAAGACTGAAAACTTTTGTCCTAACTTGGATAAGGTTCGACGGGCCAATTGTGTTTCTTCGGGAGCTTAGACATGGGCCACAGCATTAAGCCTTTATCGCAGACCTTTTCATCGCAATATCCGCCTTGAGGCTCTGAATAGCAGGGGTTCTTCTGGCTCCCAACCCACGATTGCCATGTTACGAACACTAGCGTGCCCGGAAAAATTAATAGATCAATGGAGAGGGAACGGCTTTTCATAGAACAAGCTGGTTGATTTGTTCGGATCTGGAGAGATGTAGGGTGTATGCGGCATCAGCAAACCAGAGATGCGCATGACGGCACCTCCCATCTAATCCATCCACGACGAGCTACAAGCCATGGTTTCACCCGAAATATAGATAATTAGATGTCCAAGCGGCGTCAAAACACAGTCATTCAACGATTCAACGCAGCCACACTATCGAGGGAAACATGACTCTTTACCTAAAGAGTGACATACCGTCATCGGCGACCCCAACAAGGCACCGTCTAACGGATGGGACTGAAATCTTGACCCATTGATGTTATGATGACGCTTGAGATCCGCCGGCTTGAATGACTGTCGTGAGTGGACTCACTGGAAACCGTTCTCGAGAACTTCGTTTCGTTTGACATGACGGCGACTAGAACAATACATCTGACGCGCCTGCATATTAGCGCCACGGAATGTCCGAGATCCATACGCTAAAAGCACACAAGCCCTTCCAGAAGGTCCTTCCTCCTTTTCTGACATGGATCTTCTGTGACAGAGATGTTTTGGTTTTGAACAACAGGTATCAAGGCATCTGTCTTTAGGCGATGTCCCCCTCCTAGCCACCTCACCCTCCATCCTTCGCCGTCGCCGCCGCCTGATGAACCTCCAACGAAGGACAATCCACGTCACAACCGGGTGCGACGAGCACGTGGGATTGGGGCTTCTCCACAACACCGGATTCTAGCGAGCGGAGAGAACATGTAGGTTACCGCCAGGTACGGAACGGGAGGGCTTTGGAGGACAGCCGTCCCCTCCTCAAGAGGCAAGCAAACCTTTGAGCATCCAGGGAACGCTGACGCACTGCAGTTTGACAAAAACGGGCATTGTACCACTGTTTCATGTCTAACATCCCATCGTGGAACCAGGCCTCTCGTCACACGCACACGGATACTATAGTGTGCCTATAAGTGTTACTTGGTGTTCCTGATGGTTGTTAGTATAGATCTCAACTGCTAGTAGCGCTCGTCTCAGCACAAAGGTTTTCCTCAGTAAGAGACGAATGTCGTGCATAGATCGGCTCTGTATAGAAAGAGCGTTTCGTTCAAGGCCCGGCACGGTCCCGGACATTACCACGCCACGATGCACGAGATTCGAAGATCGGTAACTAATACTCATGTAGATGCGATGGAAACCGGGCAAGGTTGACATCACCCACACACCTCAGCTCGCCATACTGTCCGTGTCTTACTTGTGTCGCCCGTAAATCGGATTGAACTTACGCAAGAAATTTCGCGCGCCCTGTCAAAGGCAAGCAAGATTTCAGCCAAGCTCCCAAGGGCAGCCAATCAACCATCATAGAGCATCGACGGATGACACGGCGATCGGAATGGTGATGGGGCTATCCGCATCCTTGCCAAGCGCTTTTCAATTCTGTGCGATCTAGCTCGTCAGTGCCTCATAGCGGCATACGAAATGAACGACGATGAGTCCAGTAAGCCGATTAATCCCCCCGCTCCAGTGCCACAGGATATGCAAGAAACCGTCCCGCCCAGAAAACCTCATGGGCTCGTGGAACTCGGACACAGAATCCGCTGTCCTGAGGGTTCAGTTGTTTGTTCCATCGACAGAAGCCCATTGCCAGACTTATCGCAGATCAGTCGAACCCGTTGAAATCGTGGACGTCTTCGCAGCCTTGACGGTAAAGACCCCTGATCCCAAAATGCCACACGCTTTAGCTCCTACATGCACAGGCAGACCTGGGTAAGTTCGGTTTCGTACTCCGGGCCGCTAGTCATGCATCCCGTTACCCGCTGTGCGCTCTTGAGCCATATGGTTCTAGGTAGGTCTAGGTCGAAGCTGTCGGGGTTGGGTGCTTGCCTCTAGTCAGTGGTTTACAGCGAGTCGCCCACGTTAGACTAGATGACTAACTAGAGCTTGTACTCCGCGCGGTCCTCTGAGAGACTTTAATCTGGATCGAAGCTTGTTCCTTATATTTCAGATGGTTTCCCACACTCGGAAGTGGCGGCAACGGAAGCGTCTGTGGAAGACCTTTAAACACGAGACTTTTTCTCGGCCGCGGCGAACCTCAACCTGCCTTTTCACTATTTCCTCATCCTCCCACACCTGTCGGATATCATCCATATCGGCTGGCGGTATCTTGGCAGTATGAGGCGGCTGCGACTGGTCGGCCTCATGGTCGCGTTTTGTCGGGCCTCATATGGCTCTCTCTTAGATTACGCAGGCAAGCTACCTGAATGTGGGGTGAGTCGCTTCCATCGAGGAGACGCGTAAGAACATGACAGAGCACTTTGCTAACTTGGTTGCATTCACTTAGCTTACATGTAGTCTGGAACATATACCACTTTCGGCGTGCAAAGTTGTGACGAACGATACCTGCCTATGTAACGACGAAAATCTGAGAGCGAGCGTGGAAACGTGCCTTTTTGAGCGGTGCGAGAGGATGGACGCGATAGGTACGCCATTAGTCGACAGGCAACTCCGTGGTGACTAATAGACAAATCGCTACCTAGATGTGGCAAGGTTAGAGGCCAAAGCATGCAAACGACCAATCCGCAACCGAAAGATCGAAATACTGGCACCCATCGTGATACAAGTCATCGGACTGCTCATGGTGCCTCTTCGGTTATATGCTCGCTGGACGACTGTGCATCGAATCGAGACCGACGACTGGATCGTCGCCTTTTGCGCGGTACGTGAGGCGTGCAAGAGAGTACGGACTCTCAATCTGACAGGTGATAGCTCGTTTTCATTGTATTTGTTGTTTTTGGTCAGCTGGGTATGTTGAACCGTTGCTCTACGTCGTCTCGTTTGCTCACTAACAAGAACCCAAGCCGGCTGGGTTGCATTTGGGGAGGATATTTGGATGGTTAAGCCGGACAAGCTCACATTCGGGCTCAAGGTGAGAAAGGACATCATTGTCGTGCTGGTCCCTTTTTTTATGCTGACCGGACGTCTAGATCTTCTTCATCGACGAGAGCTTATACCTTATGTGCCTGTGTCTCACCAAGATTTCGGTTCTCTTCTTCTACTTACGAATATTCCCGAACAAGTCGTTCCGATACGCCACTTACGCGACCATGTCCTACATCGGCTTATCCACCATGATCCTTCTCTTCTTGCAGATATTCCAATGCATACCGTTGTCATACAACTGGGACGGGTGGAAGGGCGACTTCGGCCCGCACCACTGCCTCAACATCAACGTGCTGGCCTTCGTCGCGGGCGGGCTCAGCATCAGCCACGACGTTATCATTCTCTTCCTCCCGATCCCGCTGCTGTGGCACCTCAACATGGGTCTGCGCTCCAAGATTGGCATTTTCATCATGTTCAGCCTGGGGATCTTTGTCCTGGTCACATCGTGCGTGCGATTGAGGTACATCACTTTGTTCACGCGGTCGCTGAACCCGACGTGGGACTTCACAGACCCTCTCATATGGTCGGGCGTCGAGGTGTCCGTGTCAATGATCGTCGTGTGTCTCCCCACCATGCGGATGCTCCTCAAACGCGCCGTGCCGAAGCTGTTCACCATGGCCTCCCTGGGGGTCTCGGCACCCAAGCGACCGTCGGACGCCTCGTCGCCCAAGAGGCCGTCGGACGCCTCGTCCCGCCTCGGGCAGCACGTCAAGCCCATCGGCAGCGGCGGCCACCGGAACAACAGGCCCTTCGACTACGAGACGGCGGCCACCGGGATTGAGGAGCGGAGCAGCAGGTTCTTCTCGCAACGGGCGGCCAGCCCAAAGCCGGACGAAAGCGATCTGGAGCTGGGGGACAAGGTGTTTGGCGAGGTGCGCACACAAATAAGGTTTGGTGACATGGAGTCATCCCGGCGCAGGGGGTCGATGGAGTTGGGCATTCATGTGCGCACCACTACCACGTTTGGAGACATTGGTGAGGTCGACGTAAAGCCTCTTCTGAGGGCGCATGACTCAGTGGCATCGGACCGTCCTCGCGATACCGAAAGCCAGCGGAAGCTGGACTGAGAGCAAAGCTGAGAATGGGACGAAGATGGGCACATTGCGGGGCTGACCCGCGGCAACTGTACTGGGAGAGAAGATTCGGGACACTTGGATCAAAAGGGGGGGAGGGACTAGGGGGACGGGAAATGGGCGTTGGGGAAAGGGATGGTGATACCACTGCATCGGGAGGCGTTGGGCTTAGATATGTGATAAGGGACAACCGTGGCATTGCTGGAGCAATATCGATTTTCTTTTCTTCTTCGCGTTGGGGCACTACCACGTGTTACCTCGAAGGATCTACTTCAAGGGAAAGCCGTCAAGGTACAGGATGAAGATTGACACCGCCCCAAAGGGAAACTCTATCGTCGAATTTCCCGGTCGCAAGTTTGAGCCAATCAGCACACCGCCTACACGCACCTGTCAAGCGACTCGTCGTGCTCGGGGCTTTTTTCTTAAATAGAAGGCAGAGAGACGAGGTTGTATCCTGGCTGGTTGCGGGAGGTCCGCGCCAGGGTTGCCCACCGTCTGAATTCCAGATAGGGGGGAGGATGTGCCGCGTTGCCGGCGAGTTACGTCGAAAAGGCAGAGGGACCATTCTTGCTGCCCGCCATCGCCACCCCAGTCGAACGGTATAAAGTTTCCCGGCCCGAGGGTGGAGACAAGACAGGCACGCGGGGAAGAATGCATGCCAGGGGACCGACGTCCATATTCACCTCCAGGAGGCTCATTCGGCGTCTCACCTGGAGCTTGCTGGCATCCGACGCAGCAGCTCGTCTCGAGTGTCATTAACTACCGCCAGGTTGGCTCTATATGTGGGCGAAAAGGTTGGATTGTCATTAGGAGCGAGGAGTGAGGGTCTTGCGCTCGTTGGCTGGCCGTTTGTCGGAGGCATGGTGCTGAATAGTCGCACCTAGTTGCTTGTATTCTTTAAGTGATAGCCTTCCGGCCGCCTGGAGCATACCTAGGCGGCTCTTGCGAATCATGAGAGCTCGTCGTTTCCTTTCACGAGAACTCAATGAGTCCGAACTGTCGTGTAATGATACCGCCACGTATACCTCAATACCAACCCAGCCATCGTGTCAGAGCTCGGGAGAGGGTGATGCTGAATGATTATCTGATGTTGCACCCCCCATCGAAGCCTTATTGCTGGCTCGAGAGGACGTAACGTCTCTGGCAAGTACTTCTGAAACCGTTGAACCATCCCATCTGCATCTGTCGAGGTGTGTAATCGTATATCATCGGTCCAAGGTGTCGCCGAGGTGTGAACAGCGACATTTGGGAGGAGGGATTTCAGAAGGAATTTTCGACAACGGGGTGGATAAACATGGTCTCGCCCGTTCCTACTGGGAGCCGAAAAAGACGTCGGATATTCCGGTGGCTGGTGTCAATGATGTGCCTACAGACGAATTTCCTCGGGCGAAGAGAATTGTGTACCTACTAGCATCGCACATTCATCCCGTCACCGCTTCTACAACTAAATACCTCTCGACTTGCTCCATACGTGTATCTAGACAAGAGCAAACCCAAGACATCGAGTAGGGAAGTATTATACTCGCGAGGCAACATCTTGAATCTCGGTAATCGGCAGCAGGTCAACCCAAAGGTATGAGTATTGCTCGCACTTGACCCTACGCTTTATCGTCCATCACTGGTTACCAGAAGTGCCGCGGTGATGTCTACTCAACACCAAACGAACCGGTTAGTCGAAACAAGATAAGTAAGCATCCTGTGGCTATATGGAAGCGCCAGAGGGCCTATCATCAGCAGGTGGCAAACTCGGACAGCGATAGTATCCATTGTATCTGCATGGGATGCCGAGTCTCCTATGAGACAGCAACAGTACTATCATATCAAGCCCTTGGCCTTCTTGAACCTCCACTGGTGGGCACAACAGATCTCGTACAGAACACCCAAGATTGGCGTGGCTATCCCGTGTTTCTGCGCTTCGCGGACGACTTCGCCGAGAATATTCTCGTGCTCAATCAAGTTCCCCTGCAACGTGTCAGCACCGCTCCCCAGTCACACATACCATTGAACGCCAGCCGAGGCCAGACCCACCTTCTCGAAGTCGACTTGCATACTGGGCTTGATGTTGTCCTCGACGGGGTTGAGGCTGATGGTCTTCTCTATGACGTCTTCGGGAATGCTGTGGCCTGCAGCCGCCGCCACCGCGAGGACCTCCCTCATGGCCGGGACGACCATCGAGCCCATCGTCCTGCCCGTCATCTGCAGCTCGCTGGCATTCAAGCCCGTCAGGGCGCAGATCGGGTTGAAGGAGGCGTTGTAGACCAGCTTGCTCCATCGATCAAAGTCGACGTCCGGCCTATGCAGGCACGTGGTCATCCCCGCCGCGCTGTAGATCTTGACAAATTGCCGCGCGGCTTCATGTTGCTGCTCCTCGTCGAGCCTGGGGCTTCGGAAGGCGCCGATGTGCAGCAGGTCGTGCTGCTTTTGTTCGACGACGCCCGGAGAGACTTCGTGGGCGTCGACCCGGCTTACGCCCGAGAGGACAATGTTTGAGGGGAACCGGCTGAAGAAGGGCCGCTGGATGTTGAGGCCGTTTTGGATCAAGACGATGACGGTGTGGCTGGGAGACACGGCTGGGGCAATGATGTCAGGAAGGCTCGGGCCGGCATCGGGGATGTTCTTGGTGCAGCAGACGACGTAGTCGTATCGTCCAGCGGGGTTCGAGTCCGGGATGGCCGGGACGGCGTTCAAGACTTTGAAGTCGCGTCAGCTTCGGACGACTCGACTTGACGTTGCGGGAAGGGGCAGCAACGGAGGGGTGGCAGCAGACTGACCTTGACTGGGCCGCCAGTTCTCCAAGCTGCCGTGGTCGCACGACTTTATCGAGAAGCCTTTGCGACTCACAACGTCGTGATTAGAACGGAGCACGGCGGCTACCTCGGCCGATCCCCCGCGCTCGAGATTGAGGGCGGCTATTGTGCCGATGCCGCCGGCGCCAACGAGGAGCACCCGCCACTTGTCCGTCATGACTTTCAGGGAAGGGATGATGCGCGTGGTGGTATTGTAGGTGGTGCGAAGCACAGAAGTCGAGTCTATGAAGCCAAGACAGCCTCGAGGATCAACAATTCAGACCGAGAGACCGAGTCTGGTGGGCTGGCAACGTGGTTATTATGCGTGACAACTAAGTGTCGAGACTGGCGCCGGAACCGGGCCGGCACTTGACACACGGTTTTACCCCGCGGTGCCCCCGCCATCCTGGCCCCACCCAAACGCTGCCTGAAAAGCCCGGGCCGGTCGTCGAGGTGCCCTAGGTCCGGGTTCGGCTCTGGTCCCCGAGGCGCGGCTGATCCCGCTCGGCCACCGTTCTTAAGCTGCTCAAAGCACCGGCCGCGGGCAGCCTGTCACACGTCAGATTCCCAGAGGGCATACGGCCCGCGGTAAGCTCGGGGCGCCACGACGTGTCATAGCATTTGTTACACACGTCTCTGTTGGTGCGTCTTGCAAACAGAGGGCAGTTGTTCAGACGGAACGGTCTGGGTGAGTTAATACTTGCTTGGGGAGGTTCACGGTGGAACGGACCTCGCGCTTTCTCGCATCAGCACCGCGACGAGAGTGTATTGTCGAACACTCTTCCAGCCGTCGGACCTCTGGAGCTGTTGGTTCAATCGCTGGTCCTCGATGAACCTGGGTGTGCGGCGAGGAATGCAAGATCTGTCGATGAGCCGAAAATAAAAACGCGTTGCATCGTCCGTGGGGAAGCCGATGCGCTTTTCCGGCACAAATTAAACACGAAACGGGATCCAGGCTGGAATGGAAAGAAGGGCAAGGGTCGCACGGGCCACTCGTTGGTTCCTATGTTTCAATACCTAACCTCACTGACCCTCTCACTTTCCTACCGAATCGTCATTTTTCATCTCCCCGTCCTCTCCCGCACGCCCACACGTCCGCACACAATCCCGCGCGCAAATCGAATCGCATTGCTTTTCACTTCTTCTCGGAACATTTCTTTGACCTTATCGTCGGGGCTACGCAGAATCTGGGAACCCGGTGGCATCCAGTCGGGAGAATCCGCATCCCCTCTCACCCCACCTATCACGCCTTATTCCGTTCCTCAAACCAGACTTCCAATCAGAAAGGCAAACAATGACACGCCAGACCGACGTCGCCGCTGCCGCCTCTAATGGGGCAGATCCCGCCGTCACGGCCCCGCCGCCTCGCGAGCGCATCATGGCGCACATGAACCGCGACCACAAGCGGGAGCTCTCCCTCTACCTACGCCACTACGCCGGCCTCAGCCGCTCCGCCGCCACAGCGCCGTGGCTCAAGGATGTCACGCTCGAGGGCATGACGATTGCAGCGGGCGGGCTCGGCGGCAAGGAGTTTCACGTCGCCTTCCAGCCCGCTCTCCAGTCGTGGTCCGACGTGCGCCCCGCCGTAGTCGAGATGGAGCGCGTAGCGCGGCAGGCGCTGGGGGACAGCGACATCGTCGTCGGGTACTTTGCGCCGCCGCAGGGCTTTGATGTCGTCGTGTTTGGGGCCGTTTCGTTTTACTTTGTCTGCTGGCTCACGCTCGGGTTTGTGCTGCCGGGCGCGCCCATCTGGTCCTTCCTCCAGGCCGTCTTCCCCGGCGGGCCCATGTTTTACCGGTGGCTGGTCAAGGCCATCTTCCCGTTCGTGTTGGGCATTCATCTGACCGAGTGCTTTTGGTTCCACAGGACGAGGCTCTCGAGGCACGGGATCGAGTTCGGCACGAGTCTCTGGTGGACGTGGATCGGGAGTCTGTTCTTCGAGGGCGTGTGCGGCTTCATGAGGTTTGACAGCATTGTCGCCGCCCTGAAAAAGGAGAAGGAAAACGAGAAGAAGAGCCACTAGGCCCTTACTGTGCGAGGAGGCGACTCAAGTGCCGACAGAGGGCTCTCTTTGACGGCGAGGGACCTTCTCCTCAACCGCCTTTCTCCACGCAGAGCTCCCGTCGGTTTGAGACGCTGCCAGCCAGCTACGCACGACTGGACACGGCCTGGGCAGCGTCTCCAAATACTGTTGTTCTTCATGTTCGCTTTAGGTCTGTTCTCGGGATTGCCGGCATCGGACAAGATGCGAGGCCGCTGGGTCATCAACTTCGTGAAGCCTTGCAAGCCGAGGTTTCTGCCGGTGACGAGAGATGGAGAGAGGTGGAAGCATCCGGCTAATAGCCAAGGAAGAGAGCTGAAGCGGAAGAAGCAACGGATTTGCACCAATCTAAACCATGTTGCTTGGCTGCTGAAGAATTAGTCAGGGATCACGGTTATGAGTAATGTTAATCCATGGTTGATATCCACGAGAATGACGCTTTTTGTGCTCCCAGCCATGTGTTCTTGTGGCGACAACGAGCCGTGACCGAAACCAGGTACCAGTTGCGTACCTAGCCTGTGCTGCTCCCGCGTGAAATATACAGCCAGCTGTGCTCAAGTTGATCCCCCAAAGAGTCAGCCTCGTAAGAGGTCATCGCTCGTAAGAGGGATGAACGAAATGGAACGGGACGGAACCACACAGTTAGGCAAAACAAGAGGAATCTGATAAGATCCGGACGTGGAAAGTGCTGCTTGCCGCGCCTGCCACGCCCAGCCGTGATACCAGACACCTAACCCCGTGACGTTCTCGCTTAGGCGAGAGACCGACCCAAGTCCCACTTTTGATACGTGGACGGCGTCAGCAGCGAAACGAACAATTCTCCCTTCTGCCACTTTGATTAATCGACGTCGATGCAGCAATTGTGTCTTGACTCTCTCCCTCGACCCTTGAAGTTACTCAGATGTACGTACGGTGTACGGATACCTGTAGTACTGTACGGGTACAGACAGATACGGATATACTCCGTACCTGTTCGTGGTAAGCCACGCCAACGTCGATGCCCCATCGCCCCACAATCGTGCTAACCCTTTCCAAGACAAAGTTGCGAATCTGCCAATGGTCGATGGGCCGCGTCCGACTGGGGTAATAATGCCTCCTCTGGGATGCAGTGTATCTCGGGGGAGGGTGTTCATTCTCCATCTTTCAATCTCCTGATCAATAATTAACGCAAGCCACAATCCAACGACCTGGTCCTCCTCAGACTCGAACATCCCTTAGGCAGTATCCCAGTACCATGGTTGATGGCCCGCCGTCGTCACCCGAGCACCCACCCATTGAGACCAATTGCCGACGGCCAACCCACGCCTTGTTGCATCGTCGCTCCCGTTACTTGTCGACGACAACGACAACTCTGATGGATTGCTTGGACCCCGTTCCAATATAACGTGACCGCGGACCGAGGCGCCTTCAACGGGATGTGCACAACTCACAGCCCCTAGCTAGCCTGAACGACCTAGGTATCTTCTGATCTCAACGGCGTGCCACGTATACGGCCAGCCATCCATCTTTCCCACGCTATGCTGAAACCCCTCAAATACCTACTGCGGAAGCTACTATTACAGGGATGACGGCACCGACGACGCTCGCCCCTTGACTTCAAACTAGTTCGCCTTAACCTCCCCCCTCTCTCTGTCCAAAGTCTGCGGGTCTCTCTTCCGTCATCCATCCGAAGGGCTTCGCGCGCTGCCTACACCGTCCAAACGTCCGTGCCAAGTGGGGGCTCCCGTTCTCAATCGAGGCTCTCCCTGGCTTCGACGGCGTCCGAGAAATTGGTGGAGGGAGCGTTCTGCACCTAGCGGGCAGGCCGGCCTAAGGCATACTGTTTTTGGCTGCTTCCATGTATGCGGGAGCTGCCGGAGCGTCGACAGATTGTGCTAGCCAGCGCAACATCAATCTCTAGTTTACGTGTTGACTATGACGAACCTCGGTGCACACGGTGTGCTACGCAAAACCTTGTCCGATCCAGGGCTAAATGCGATTCAAGACAGCATGGGCTGGGCCATTGCAACGACACCGAGGCAAGTACCAGTGATCTGGGTGGTGCTGAACCGAAGCCTTTTACCCTTCTTCTTGCTGTCAACGCGCATGTGTGGTCATTACCATGCTTCAAGTGCGCCGTGCCGGTGCATTGACACTCGAAAAGATCAGGGGAGAAAAAGAAAAGGTCAAAACGGCCTCATGGTAGGCTAGCTTTCCCAGCAAAACCAAGAGGCGCCAACTCTTTGGGCCTCGTACCCCAAACCACCATCGGAACATTCTAGACAATAGCAGCAGCGATCATCTCTTTCACCTGAACGCACCTGCTGTCAAAGAACGGCGGTTTCTCATTCGCGACGCACCCCTTCTGTGGAATGGTGCCAATACGCCACTTCCTTCTCGAGGGTTTGACCGGAAGAGGTGGTTCTCCAAGACGCCAGAGGAGGGGTCCAAGACTGCAAACATCACACCTTGATTACACCACAGCAAGTGATGACCCTGCTCACGTTTGTCCAGGCAGCAACCCAGCTCGATATTTATGCTTGGTTGCGTCCTGGGTTCACCGTTGCTGCGCACATTCCAAGTGCGCCCCCCCACCCCCAAAGTGTCGCACTGCATTGCAAACTGCCAACTAAGGTGTGGAAATCCATGTTGCTTTCTAGATGCATCTTCCGCTGTCACCCACGCTGCAATCGATCGATAGCTGCAGTTTGGTGGAAAAGCAAGCAGCGGAAAAAGAAAACAAGAAAAGGCCCCGAAGTGGACTGTTTGTAAGTCCTTGCTATGAGCTAATTTAGAGCCAAACTTGTGTCCCCGATTCGGACACGCTTGCGAAGTGATCCACCAGCCGTTATGATTGCCAAATCATGAGGCTCTTCTCCATACATACCTAGTGCACAGCAGCTTTGGGTAGAGCAATTTCATGAACAAACTTGCCATTTGCTCTTTTGCCCCGGCAACATGGGAGCAGGGTTCCCTGCGCCATCCCGGTTGAGTCGCGCAAGACCAGCCTAGCCTTCAGCAGAGCCTGTCCCGACGCGGGCTAGCTATCCGAGACCCCCGCCATGCCGATGGGATGATGGCTGGAGACTTCGCGTGTCCTAATAACCGTCCGGGGAGTCATGGACTCATGGATCGGCCCCTCTATGAGCTTGAGCTACTATGGCATCGGCAAAGTTCGTTGGCAGACATAAAGGACGGGGTCAAGGCCACCTTCGAGGTTGCGAGGCCTACCACATCACGGCGTTCCTCTTATATCTCATCTACCCGCAGCCTTGAGACCAGCCGGTCCCGTTCCCGATCTTCTGTCGTCTCACCCACCCTATCCCAGGTCTTTGGTCTCCACCATTTGAGCGGCATCCTCATCGTCATGAGAGTCCACAGCAGCCTCCCCAACGTCCTGAGGGTCGTGGTTACTGCCTCGTGTGTCGTTGCCGCCAGCCCCTACAGCCCACGTTTTTGGACTGTCGGCCAGCCGGTCACGACCACGAGCGGCCGAGTCGACGGGCACGTCGCCTCCGGCGCAGACCAGGTACGCACTGGGAATATTATAGCTGCGATGACGGGTTTTCTAATCATTCTTGTCATCAGGTATCGGAATATTTGGGCATTCCCTATGCTCAGCCGCCTGTTGGAGCGTTGCGCTTCCAACCTCCAGCCACTTACGACGCCTCCTCCTCCCCGATCAATGGGTCAGCATTCGTAAGTAATGTCTCCATGGTTTTCTCCCCACTTCATGCATCATTCTCTGTTTGGAAACTGACAAGCAATTCATCAGGGACACCAGTGCATGCAGCCCGCATCTAACTCGCCCATAAGTCTTGAGACCATCATGCAACTGGGAATACCCGCCTCTGCCGCTGATGTGACCAAGGTGCTCGAGGACACGGGCTCCCAGAGCGAGGACTGTCTGACGCTGAACGTGTGGACCAAGCCACAGACGGGGGATACGAAAAAGGCTGTGCTGGTCTGGGTCCACGGCGGTGCTTTTGTCACAGGTAAGATGCTATGCAACCGTCCGAACAAAAATCGGAAAGCCTATCTACAGCGTGCTGACTCGGAGTGTAGGAAGCTCCCGAATCCCAGCATACAATGGAAAGTTCATCGCGGACCAGGAGGACGTCGTGGTGGTATCCATGAAGTGAGTTTCCGCCAGACCGCCCTTTCTATTCTCTTTGGGGGGAATAAAAATAAAAAGCGGTTTGCTGACGCAGCTTAACCTTGAAGCTACCGCCTCAACATCTTCGGCTTTCCGGGCAACCCCATCTCCGCCCCCAACCTTGGGCTGCTCGACATCCGCATGGCCATGCAATGGATTCGCGATAACGTGGAACAATTCGGCGGCGACGCCAAAAGAATCACCATGTTTGGCCAGTCTGCCGGGGGATCTCTGGTCGACTACTACTCGTATGCATACGCGTCCGACCCTATCGCCAACGGCTTCATCCCGATGAGCGGCGTCGCCAATGGATTTGGCGTCTTCGCCAACGAGACAGTCAGTCAGAAATGGTTCCAAATCTCGTCGATTGTCGGTTGCGGTAGTGCCTCGACCAACCCCAAAGATGTCTCGGACTGCATGTCGAAAAAGAACGCGGCCGAGCTCATTGCCACCCTGGCCAACACCACCAGCCCTGTATCGGCCGGGCTCACGTTTGCACCCGTGGTAGATGAGCATCTCATCTTTGCTGATTACGCTATTCGTGACTCGGCCCAGGCGGGGTACCTCATCGGTAATGCTGAGAACGAGGCCGGTCTTTTTAAGATTGGAGCCCCTACCGTCAACGAAACCTACTGGTTCGGCTTTAACCTCGTGGCCTATACGTGCCCTGCTGCGAGAAGGGCGGCACGAGCGGTGTCTGCCGGTCACCCGACCTGGCGGTACCGTTACTTCGGCGACTTCCCCAATATGGCCGTTACCACGACGCCGCCAAGCGGAGCTTGGCATGCATCAGAGGTTAGTCGAGCTATCTTGTTTCTTTTTACAACCAATTCCATCCTCGGCTTTCTCCCTCTTTTGCGTCACCGGCAGACTTTTCTTGCTTGGGAACACGTCAACTGACATCGCTTAGCTCCCTGTCCTATTCGACACGGCACCTCAGACGGCCGTCAAGAGCACGGAACAGGAGATCGCCGTCGGCAAGTACATGCGCGGCGCGTGGGCAGCCTTTGCAAAGGACACTCAATCCGGCCTCCTCAATTACAACGGCCAGTGGCCCATGTATCAGATCAATGGCGCCACTCTCAACCGCATCTCGTTCGAGAACCAGACGGGCACGAACCTGGCACTTGGAGACTCGTACGACGGGTACTGCGCGCAACTGGGATTTCCCATTGCTTCAGCCCCCTCCTTCCTCCATTAACCCGAATTGTCCACTGAGACGTCTTCAATTCCACTTGTATATATTGGACATGACATAGATAGACTACGTGATACCTCATGGAATTCGACTTTTATCGAGCTTATTTTTCTACCTTTGCTCGCCGCTCGTAACCGCCTTTTTTGAGGTGCCTGCATCGCCTGGTACGGGAACTTTTGTGCATCAAGTGAAGAGAACATAGTGAGACGAGGCCGATCCGGCACGCTCTCAAGCGCCTTGTATCATCGCCATGGCGTTACTTATTTCTTTCAACTACTCAGAATAGACGACGGCATGCGGAACCATTCCCTTTTTTGTTTTCTCTCCCCCCCTTGCGACGAAAACATGCTCATGCAGTGATGTTATTGCGGAGCTCCCATTCGTACGCGGCGAGCAGGAAAGGGCCGACGCCACGCGTGTCGTCATCCACGACAGGGATGCCGATGTAGTACTAATGGGGGTTGCAGGTCAGCATCGTGCTCAACGAGGGGGGGGGGGGTTCTGTTAAGTGCACTAGGGGAGGGCTCTCTCTCTTACCTCGAACGAAGCGTCGCTGTTCAGGGACCCGACCTGGACGGTGTCGGTGAAGGTGACGGTGCCGTTGCCGTTCTCTGTGACGAAGTCGGTGACGAGGTGGGTGTAGGCCTTAGTGGCGGGCTCGAGGTAGGTGGCCTCGTCGAGGTAGCCGAGGCGCAGGCCGGCGAGCCAGCCCCAGGTGAACATGGCGGCGGCGGAGCTCTCTAAGTAGTTGCCCTCGCGGCCGGGGTAGGGCCCGTTCATGACGAGCCACCAGCCGTGGGAGTCGGGGTCCTGGGCGCGCCTGAGGGCGGCGGCGAGGGTGGTGTAGTAGCCGAGGAGGCGGGCGTGGCCCGGGTGGTCGCGCGGGAAGAGGTCGAGGATCTCGACCAGCGACATGAAGTACCAGCCGACGGCGCGGTTCCAGACGAGCGGGGAGGCGCCGGTCTCGGCGTCGGCCCAGACGGCCTCGCGGCCCTCGTCGAAGCCGTGGAAGAGCAGGCCGGTGTCGGGGTCGCGCACGGCGGCCTCAATGAGGTCCCACTGCAGGACGATGTCGTCCCAGGCGGTGGCGTTGGCGGCGTCGAAGAGGGACGTGTAGTGCGCGTAGAAGGTGTCGGCCATGTAGATGCCGTCGAGCCACATCTGGTTCCTGTAGACGGGGTCGCGGTGCCAGAAGCCGCCGGAGGGGGTGCGCGGGTGGCGGTCGAGCATGGCGCGGATGGCGTCGGCGGCGGCGCGGTACTTTGACTCGGCACCGCCGGCGTCACCACCGCCGGTGGTGGTGCGCTGGTGCCAGTAGAGGATGTTGCGGCCGATGCGGTAGTCGTCGAGCGAGTAGTGGGCCGGGTCGAAGCCCGGGATGGAGCCGTCCTCGGCGACGACGGGGCCGTCGATGACGGAGCGGTACCAGGCGAGCAGGGTCTCGTTGCGCGTGAGCTCGTAGACGGCCTCGACGCCCGTGTAGAGCGCCGCGCGGCCGTACCAGCCCGCGCGCTGGGCCTCGTTGTTGTTGCGGATCCACGAGTCGATGGTGCGGCCGGCGAGGGGCTCGTCGACGGTGGCGGCAGCGGCGCCCGAGGCGAGGAAGAGAAGGGCGGAGACGGGCTTCATGACGGACGAGGGGGGGATCGAAGGGCGGGATCGGACAACGATTGCAGAAGAATCTCCTCTCTCTCGGGGCGTACGCTCGTCCGTCTTTATACAAGTGGTGCAGCGGTAACAGTAACAGGAGAGAGCATCAGGTCGTGGCATCCACCCCGACCCGCGTCATGGAGGAATCACTAGCATGGTGACTAGGAAGCTGCAGTCGCGTATGCCCAGGGAGGGGGGGTTAGCTCTCCAATATTGATTTCCCGCATGCAAAGTGACATGTCTGATGAGTTCGTTTCTCTTGGCCCGGCGGACTTTTTCTTCTTCCTTTTATTCTCTTCTTCTTCTTTTTTTTTTTTTTGGAATTGGAGGCGGGCTCTTGCATATGCGCCATGTTGGGGTACAGCATGTCCCCTTTTTCTTCTTTTTCTTCTTCTTCTCTCTCTCTGATTGTTTATTGGTCCCCCCGGGCGTTTGGTTGCATACCGGGACTGGCCTGGGCAGGGCGGGGGAGAGGGCACTGACGGCCAAGACTCGACAACGGCGAGGAACGAGACGTGGAAAAATAGAGGCCGAGATGAGATGAGCGTTGAGGCTCTCCCCCACTCCCAAGAGCTTGGCTGGGCCTTGGCGCATGCGGGGTGGGCGAACGAGGCCGACGGGTCCCGTTGGGGTACATCAAGGCCCGGGTTGGTTTATGGGAATCTCGGCTTTGGTCTCCTCTTCGAGAGTAGCTGTGTAAACGGGAGGGGGAAATACAATCTGATTGTGTTTGCTGCCGGCCATCATTCGATGCTGACTATGGAAAGTTGTGGCGGGTGGCTCGGGAACGGTGAAGGCTCTCGGCGTGGTTCGGGTGCGACTTCGACGGCCTCAAACGGGGAAGATACTGGACCTCCTTGGCGAGAGGGCTGTCCGGCTGGGGGTCGTCATCCCAGGCGGATGATGTTTTCTGAGTTCATGTTGGATGATTTGGTACATGTGGTGATAGCCGGCAAGACGGCTGGAAGGCGGGGAGGAGGTGAAGGGACTGGGAAAAGCCACAGACAGAGAGATAGCTGGCCGTGGTAGACGGGAATGGACCAAATGCCAATGGTTCAAAGTCTTGCTGAAGAAAACGTTCACCCAAAGGGCCGACGAAGAGAGCAAGGCATTTGAGAACTCTGGCGTTGATTTGGGGGGACAATGTTGACGGTGATGGTTTCAATGTTGGTCTCAACGATTGAAAGCACGGTGCGGTAATCTCTCATGGCTCTCGTGAAGGCCTTTTTTCACGTGATCCTAAGAGGAATCTGTCATCGAGTCAACGACAGAAGGAAGCAGCGTCATGCGGTGCGGCGGAGCTGCCCAACGCTCCGAGTAGGTCAAGTAGAGCAGGCAACGAGTTCATCAAAGGGGCAAGAACAGACTGTCTTCTCGACTCAACGAATTCGATTGTTTCCCTTCTTTATCACAACCCCTCTCCGGCATAGTCTTCGACCGTGTTCATCTGCCACATCCAATCTCTCGATCCCGGAATCCCAACCTCCGCCTAGAAACCCAAGATGCCCAACGACCAAGCCGGGGGAAATGACCGTACGGTGGCAGTAAGCAGACTACAGGTTTCTCAGAGCGCTTTATTTCCATCTCCGATTCTCGCTCCGCCGCGGCATTCGGCGCCACCGATGTCCTCGGTTTAGAGTTGGCGACTTTCCAGTTTCCATGGTCCGCCCGAACTGAAAGAAGGGCATCAGTGCAGCTTTCATATGAGACCGACCGTGATGGACCGACAAGGCAGTAAAAATAACCCGGATGGGAGGGAGCCGCAGCCGGCCGTCAAGCTTCAACGATCCGCTGGTTCTGATGAACGCTGTTGAGGATGCGGCGCTCTCTTAACCCTTTCTCCGGTTCTTTGAATCATTCAATCGGAGATTGCGAGCAATCTAAAGTACTTAAACCCTCATAGCATGCGTATTGCTTTCAGCATTCTTCTAGTTTTCTAGATAACATCCTTCTCATCCCGCTTCCAAAGCACACACAGAACTTATCCTTGACCCAGAGAAGAAACAAAATGGACAAAGCTTCTTATATTACAAGAAAGCTGGGTCTCCGCAGGCGCGGTCTGTTTACCTTGTTCGGACGCAGGACAGCGGCGGAGGGTCCCACGGGCAACGACGCGGGAGACATGGCTTTGGATCCAAGTGCCTTGCCCCTCGAACAGCTTACAATCACATGTGGCACTATCGAGCCTGCGAACGCTGAGCCGATGGATTTGGATCCAAGTCCCCTGGACCTTGAACAGCTTACAATCACATCTGGCACTATCGAGCCTGCGAACGCTGAGCCGATGGATTGGGATCCAAGTCCCTTGCCCTCTGAACCACTTACCGCCGTACGCTGCGGGCCATCGCCGTGGGAGAGCAACTTCGACCGGAACCGTCGTCAGAGTCGCCTCATCGGTCTACCAGACGAGCTCCTGCTGCAGGTTATGAAGGTTACAGAAGTGGCCGATCTATACATGCTTCGCCAGGTATCCTTCTCCTTCTGGCGCATCTACCGAGGCAGAGATTTCAGCGAGTTCAACAGTGATAAACTGCGACCGGATACCGAAACCAATGAGACGATCGCCCGACGCGCCAAGTTGCAGGCATTTTGCGGCCCCTGTTCACAGAGGAGGTTGTTACCAGAGAACCGCAGCGGAAGGCTCGGCTTGCGGTATCGTTGCAGAAACATGGACTGCTCTCATTGTAAGGATTGCCATTCGAAGCCGACCTTCTCCGTCCAGCAGCGCCAGCAGCCCCCAGAAGTCCGTCGGTGCATCGGCTCGTATTCGTTCTTTCGGCTGTGTCCTCACCTCATGGTTCCAGCGTACTCCATCTTCAAAAAGGCCGAGGAAGTGTCCGCAAACCACCGCGAGAGGCCATCTGTTATTAAATATGAAGAATTCGTCCTTGGAAGCTGCTCCCAGTGTAAGGATTTGGCGCTCCAGGACATGGCTGGATACGAACGGCAGTACTTCTACCCTCCAACGCTCACTCTTTACAAATACTTGAATTCGAACAAAGCGCAATTCTACACTAGATCCAACTGGTGCTTGCCATTCTGCAAAATCCCTGAAGGAGATTCTCTCACAGCCGCATTCCTGCTCCAGAAACAAGAAGAGTTCAGGAACAGATATGGCAATGTATTCTGTCCTCATTTTGGACCTGGCCATAGCCAGGTCCTCAGAGCGTTTGATCCTCAAAATTGCCATTGTCTGGGCGGGGATAGTCGGATTGGTGTTTTTGTTTCCCGCGACCAACAGGGTTGGGGCAAGGCTTTTGGTGGTAAATGGGCCCCACAGCACGATGCACATTCCGTATCGTGTCAGGCCTGCTCTACCCATTACACGTGGATGAGGAGGGATGGGGATGGGGAAGTGTTTCTGTCACGGCATTCTAATGCTGGTCTCGCTTCGACACATGGCGAGAAAAGCTGGCATGGTGGACATTCATTCCTCGCTTTGCTTGATCCTGAGTCATACGCTGCAAGGTCAGATCACGAAACCCAGTATATGTTTTGGTGCGAAGACTCTCGGTGCAGAAATGGTAGGGACTGGATCGAGTATGGTAAAACTTTGAGGTAGTAGACAACCTTTTCTCACGCGTATGAAAAATCAAGAGAACAAAAAATGAGCAACACAATTTTCCATGCCGGAGTATCAATGATTCCGCATCCCAACCAATTGCTTCCCTCACAGAACTGAACGACCACAACCAAATCCCAAGTCCACTCCAACTTCGCTAGCATCTCTGTATCCAGTTAGTAAATTATTCCCAGACTCTTGCCAAGGGCTCTATTCCAAGATACCAGGGCGATTCCAGCACAGACAAAATTCTAGGTGAAATTCCATGTAATGCCTTGGACGAAAGTTCGGATAATACCCGGGAGAATAACTAGATGATGCCCCAGATGATATATCGCTTTTTGGGAGAAGAGGTAGGGGAAGTGTAGAGGGGGATAAGGACATCAAATACCTCTTCATGAGCACACTGTCTCACTAAATTACCCATCACAAGTGGGCCATATTGGCCGGCTGGGTCATGTGATACTTGAGTTCGCCTTTTAAATCACAGACTTGTTGACTACTCTTCTTCTCGAGCTCTCCGACTGTGTTATCCGTTGTTGTAACCCGGCCTTGCAAGTTGGTAAGGTCTTGCCGTATTTGTTCCAAGGCCTTGGTCAGTGATGAGATCTTGGATCTTGGTGTTCAGGTCGGTAAGGTCTTGCCGTATTGTTCCAAGGCCTTGCTCTTTGGTGAGCTTTTCAACCGTGCTTTTCAGTGCTTGGACCTTGTTCTTCAGGGTCTCGACGTCTGAATCGGTATCCTTCCAGGCTAGGAGTCGTGCGAGCCACTTCCAAGATTTCATGATCCTCTGCTGCAAAAAGCTCAACAGCGTGAACGCCAAGCTGATAACGAGGAAATCGAGTTCAAACTTCCATGTCTCTGGCTCTTGAGGCTCACTCGCTTTCTCTTGGGCCTTGGCGATGCGTTCAAGCAAGCTGAGCAGCTAGGGGTCGGTGTTGTCGGTTTGGCTGTTGTCGCGCTGGAAGCTTTCGACCATGGCAGAGAGCTTGTCTAGCTTGTCTAGCTTGTCTAGCTTGTCTAGCTTGTCTAGCTTGTCTAGCATGTCTAGCCTGTCTAGCCTGTCTAGCCTGTCTAGCCTGTCTAGCCTGTCTAGCTTGTCTAGCTTGTCTAGCTTGTCTAGCTTGTCTAGCTTGTCTAGCTTGTCGTCGATGCTCTGTATTGCAGTGCCGGCTTCGATATATCTAAAAGCAGGCAATAGGGGTTAGCAAATAGTCAAGAAGTTGCCGCTTGATTTCTCACCCTTCGGGATGGCAGATGCCCATCGTGTCGCTTAACGCAGGGCTGGGGTCGGCCGACATGTACTCGATGGCGTCTGGGCTTGAGCGACCACGTCCGAATGGGCCTCTCTTGGGGCCACCACAGTGAGCGACCCTCATCAGAGAGCCCATGACGGCCATGACAAGAGCAATAAGGTGAGACAGTTTCATTTTGATTCAAACTGACGGATCAAACTGACGGATCAAACTGACGGATCAAACTGACGGATCAAACTGACGGATCAAACTGACGGATCAAACTGATGATTGATGAATGACGAGTGGCGGATATGGAAGGGGTTGAGCGTTGAAAAGTGAATCAGGGATCTCGTCGTCAGTTATAAGAATATCAAGGTGAAGTGGTTTGAACCGATCTCTGGTCTGGAGTCTGGTCTGGAAGGAAGGTGCACCGCAGATCAAAGGGAAGGCACCCGAGGCATGATGGGAAAGTGCATCCAAGTGGAAGGCGCGCCAGCCAGCAAACGGTGAGACGGAAAGACGGGTTCAAAGATTTCATTGCCTTAGCAGCTACATACATACATACCGACTGAAGCCCGTTTGTTAGTCTCCCCGGTTCAAAGCCTTCCTTGCTTCTATTATCCCATTGAGTGCCGAGTGACCTCACATAACCTCAGACCAATAAGACTACAGCAATCCAGGCTGACTGTCCAGTAGCTGTAAGTAATTATTTACAGAGACCCACTTTTGGGTTATGTGAGGTCACTGGGCACTCAATGGGATACGGACGGGCTCTGTTCTTGCAGCCATACAATGAACACGCCTGGACTGCATCAAAACCGAAGCAACGCGATGCTTCCATCACTAAAGGCAGTTTGGCAGTTGGGTTCTTCATGGCACTTAGTTCCTTTTCACAGAAGGAACAGTCTACAGAAGGCAGCAGACCTGCAACAACCTAGCCGGAGCATGGCATGGGATGGGCAAACGGGATTTGCATCATCGGTAATACCTCTCTGCTCAACCCAGTCACTCAACCCGCTCATTTCAGGTAGGCTAATTACATATCTAGGAATAGTAAACACTCTTCGTCAATCAACCCACCTAACGGAATTGTCTGGCCAGGTTGAAATCATGCGACGGAATGGATGCATACTGATACGGCGCCTAGACGCATCATGTCATTCTCATTGAGTTTTCACGTTGATTTTCAACGACAAACACTGCCAAAGCCGAAAGCTGACAAAGTGCAACTTGCACCCATGAGCGTCTCCCACTCTTGGGCAGTCGTTGTCTAGCCTAGGATTTAGACAGTGAATTAAACGGACCTCAAAAGTCCCTTCGGACCCCACCCAGCAAAAAGAACATACAACACCAGGTATTCGCTGATCGTCACCGACTCAACTACTAGTCCGGCCCTCACTGGCTTATCTATGGGAGAGCGGACGGGATCCCGAGTTTTCCAATGGGTATGGTCGTATGTGACGACTTGTGGGTGTTGTGGAGATTATGTCGCCCCTCAGCTAAGGGAACAAAAGCAAAAAAACATACAACACCAGGTATTCGCTGATCGTCACCGACTCAGCTACTAATCCGGCCCTCACTGGCTTATCTATGGGAGAGCGGACGGGATCCCGAGTTCTCCAGTAGGTATGGTCGTATGTGTCATGAACCGGCGTTTGACGTGCTCATACTGGTCGGTGACGATGAGAAACTCGGATTAGGACGCGATGCATCTAATGCATTACGCCTTGCACTATCCGTATACCAGGGTCTTATGCAACCAAGGGCGGAGGAGCTGCGACAGGAAGCCCTTGAAAACGCAAAAAAAAAAAAAAAAAAAAAAAAAAACCTCACCCTCGGGCATTTTCTTTATGGTTTTGAATTGAGATCGCAAGACAGAAGCACTGTGTATCTATTACAAGTAGCTTCATACACCTCCGAGTCGGTAGGTTGGATTATGGTTTAGAGTCGGATGAACTACACATAAACTCCAAGCTTATCATACCAAAAACTCTACAGAAGCCTCAGTAGCGCCATTACCTTGGTCTGTTGACTGCAAACAGCTTTTACAAAGGCAGTTCAGAAGCTCAATCAAAGCACGTCCGGCAAAAGATGGGTTTTCCTTTTACTTATCCCAAAGTGCTGCCAGCTGTTCATCTCAAGTGTGAGGTGGGCCGGCGGCATCTTGGATGTCTAGGGGGCTACATACACATGATGTCTGTGGGCTGGCTCGTAACTGGCAGTGCCCGCATTAGCTTGACCCGATGGCTCGGTAACCGGCGCGCGCGTAGCCCCCCCTGGTTGCACTGCATCGAACAGTTTGCCTATCGTCAGCATGCCAAGAATGGTGGATGGTCCAAAAAAGCTGTTGATGGAGGCAAATGTCTCGGAGCCCCGTTGAGCTCAATCCAGCCAAAACCATGGTTGATTAAGCTGATTGCGATACTAAAGCATGTATGCATTGGGGAGGGGGGGTTGTGGTAACCAATTTGAACGGAGCATGGGGCCTATCGGTGCCGGCGTACATGACATACCGGGCCATCAAGGCAAACACACAGCCGTCTCTAGGCTTCCTGAACGACAATTCCAATAAGGTAGTATGCCAAGAGCTTGCTCAGATTGGCAACGGTTGCCGGTATTCAGCCAGTGCACTTTTGGTTGGCGGCCAGTGTCTAACCCGATCTAGAAGTATTACCACACAGGAGCTGGAAATACCATATTCCGTCACCCTAACTCTAACTAACCCAGACCCTAACCCAGACCCTAACCACCCTAACTACTAACCCGTTAGGGTCTGGGTTAGGGTCTGGGTTAGTTAGAGTTAGGGTGATGGAATAGGGTTAGGGTTATCTGTGTCAGGGAAATGTGGTGGTGTTGGCAGTGCCTTCCTAAATAGGCTTAACTCACTGGCCGCCGACCAAAAGTGCACTGGCTGAATACCGGCAACCATTGGCAACACACCTTCGCAGCTACGACACCGCTGATCGCCCCAAGGCCGTGAGTGTGCCGCATATGAGCGGGTGCAAGATTTCCTAACAAGCTAATGCAGACGACCGAGCACGTGGGCGGGCCAAATTAGTTGCATTGAGGTTGGTGATAGAAGGGCATATTATGAATATCAACCCGCGGGGAGGGCGGAAGCCTGTGCACCCGGAGGGGGGGCCTCCGATCCTTTGTGTTTCTAGTTTCTGGTTGCGCATCCAATTCAGCGGTCCAATCGGGCACCGGGGTTTTTTCTTTCATGTCAGGGGTTGACGAGTTGCGTTAAGGAGCCGAAGCTGGACATCTATCAACCGATATCTCTGCAACATTGAATGAATGCGGAACCCTATGGAGGGAGAGACATGCCACCCGTCTACGCTTGCCGTCTTTGGCCTCGCAAGAACAGGTCCGAGGGAGGGGGGGAGGTTAAAAAGTAAGAAGTGAAAGAGATAAAAATGATAATAATAATAATGCCGCGTTTGCGTTGAAATATCAGACTCGGTCATAACCGGCCGGGACGTCCGACGAATGAAAAGCGACGGGGATGTTCATCCTATTTCGTTCCGGTGCTACTACTGTCCCTCCTTTGCTCCGTCTTCCTTTCGGGTACGAGTCAACAACACACACAACTTCCTGACCCTGAACGACTTCCTCGACCGGGATGGGGGGGGGGGGGGGGGGGCTGTTGACGTTCTTTCGACGATACGCATCGTCACCCCGGTCCGCCGACTTGATGCCCTGTTCAGATTGGGCGGACGAATGACGAAAGAATCACCCAAGGGGTACATTGGAGCAGCTGAAGACGAAACCCTAGTGTGGCAATGATGTCTGCTTCGAGGCTGAAAGTTTTCTTTTGTCGAGTCGTGCGTGAGCTGGAAAAAGCTAGAAGCCCAATATCGCTGCTGCCAAGCACAATAACACGAGTAGTATATACAAGGGTTATCATTTCACATACTACTAGGTATATCGCGGGTGGCGTTTCCCCACACGCAAAATCCCTCGCGCCCCGTCCGTCCGAGGACTCCAGTATTTCCCATCCCAGCCGGGGTCTGTTTCCATGATGGGTCTCGTATCGATGACCCCGAATGTATTGCATGCGTCGTCCGTTTGAGACCATGCCGATCTCGACGATCGTCGGGAAGCGTATTTTTGGGCAAGAGAGCGTGTCGCGCGATCAAGTGTCGGGGCTATCAAAGCCAAGTCCAAGGTGAACTTGCGGAGAGCCGTTTCTTGGCGCACAGTAAGGTAAAGTGATGATATCAATGTGTAGAAATGCTGATTAATAATGATTGTTATGGTTCATTCATGCGTGCCCTTTTTTTTCTCTCTTGTGGTTCCAAGTGAATCGCCCGCCGAGGTATGGGCCCAAATCACATATCCGGACGGGCAGGTCCTGGTTCTGCGTCATTCTTTGCAGAGTAGTGTAATCTTTCGCGCCGCTGTTTCTGGCCGTGGCTAAGATGTCCTGCGAGGCGGCGGCGGCGATAGTCCTTGTTGAACGTCTCCTAGTTCGACGTCTAAGAAAGCTTTCGAACGGTCCAAGTCGAAATCCAGGCTCTTGCCAAGGCTGTAGGAGCCGACTGTCAGATCCGGGCCCTCGTTACCCGACAACGGCCACAATTCGGGGAGCGGCGACGCCGGCCGGCGCGGCGACGTAGGCGTGCGAGGCCTGAATGCCGTGTTGTATGGGGACAATGTCGGCCGCCCATCGCTGCTCAATAACGCCCGCTTGCTAGGGAGGGGCGACGTGGGCCGCCGCGGTTTGAATTCCGTGCCGTGTGCTGATCTCGTCGATGGTCCTGCATTGCTGCCCCTCGAGGACCCCCAGCTAGGCAGCGGCGATGTGGGCGGACGCGGCTTGAATTCCGTCTCGTGTGGCGATAACGTTGATGATCCTGCATCGCTGCCCCAGCCGGGGAGCGGCGCCGTGGGCGGCCGCGGCTTGAACTCGGTCTGGAACGGCGTCGCCGAGGAGGGCATGCGAGGGCTGGAGCCCCAGTGGGTTTTGTCGTCGCTGTACTCCTCGGGAATCTCCTGCAGCGCGATCCTCTCGCCCGCGTGCTTGTCGTCGGCTTGGGCGCCGCCCGACACCCGCTTTTTGCTGCTGGTCTTGCTTCCGAACGCCGTGCTGCGGCGGTCAGTCGTGGAGGAGCCGAGTTTCTTGGACGTCAGGGACGTGTGGATCTCGCGGAGAATTGGACGAAGGATAGGGATGCACTGCACGATGATGGTGCCAGTAATCTCGGATGAATACCTACGCAATCTTAGCCAATCTATCCCTCTCCCCGGGTGGGACTTATGGAGTCGACGTGGGCTTGTCTCTCCTGATAAAGAAAAAGAAAAAAAGAAAATGCAAATCTTACCAAACCTGGGACACTCCGTTGCGATCTGATGGACAATATTAGCGGCCGTAGGATCCGTGTAGGTGATTACGTTGACTCACAGATGTACCAAGGGTCGCGGTCATTACCGCTATCTTTCCAGCTGACTCTGATAGCCGAAACAATAGCGACGCTGTGAAGGGTTTAGCATCTTGTCCGAACAGGGTCGAGTAACTGACTCGGGTGCGACTCACATCATTCCCAAACTCATCGTGATGCAGAGGCCGATTTTCTCGGCACGCTTCATCTCCAGTGAGCGGGTGATAAACCATGGGAAAGACGCAAAGACGAAATCCATGATGATGTTGTAAACTGGGCAACAAAGTCAGCCGATGAACAAAGCCCGAGGACAGTGTCGCGCCAATGGCAGACGTACCATTTCCGCCCTCCTTGACGTCGTTACGGGTTTGCTTGTCGAGGCAGAACTGGAGTCGATAGTCGTTGTCGTAAGATTTGCTGCCGCAGACCTTGCCCCACTGGATGAAGACCTTGGCGACCATGTAGATGTTCATCGTGGCGATGCAGAAGTACAAGATCCATCGCTGCCATTGATTGCTCATCCGGATAAGCGTCACTCCAAAGGCCGTCTTGGTCCATGCCTGGCCTATCAACGTGCCGCAGGATGATATGTTGATGAGAATGTGCATGCGGTCGTCCCATGCCTTGGACGAGTCTTCGAGTACATAGCCGGTCGCGAATTCGTAGATGATGAGGCTGTTGTTTGCGAGCAGCACCGACTACACATGCCGTCGTCAGCTTACAAGTCGGGGGGGAAAAAAGGTTGTGTTACCCGTTCCCAGGCCGCCAACCAAACAAACATGAATGCTTGCAGGGAACGTGCATCATGTTCGTGGAAGAGAGGACGAACTGAAGGCGAAGATTTAACTCACCCAAGATACTATAAGAATATAGTCGTCGTACCACAGGCCATGGCGCCTCGTGATCTTACACCAGAGGCGCAGTGCGAGGAAGATGGTTGCACCAGCAAACAGGGACCACAACCCGACGTTCAGCTGCAGATAAGGGTTCACAAAACGGACTGCCTCTTGGTCGTTTTTTTCCCGTGGTTCGATGATCATTGTCACATTCTAGGCCGGGCGTGAGAGCCACAAACCTTGAATGGGGGAGATTCAAGCAGGAGTCGTGGGATGGAGTCGGACGGCAGTCGGCGGACACGAGGCACGGCACGGACGGGATGGGAAAACCAGACTGGGAGGGCGAGGGCCGAGGATGAAGTAGAAACACAAGACGAACCAAAAGAAGGTAAAGAGCGGCCTATGCGCGGGAAAGGGCAATTCAAAGAAAAGGGTAAACGAGTGTATTGGCCGACCTGGCTAGTCAAAGAGAGGCAGCTTGTAAGAGTTAGAGAGATGAGGAGGGAAGTGGGAGTGCGGCACAGGATACAGGATCAGTCGTGATCGGGCACTATCCATCCAAGCGGCACAAGCAATACAGGGAACACCCCCAGACACACACACAAACACGCAACAAACAACAAGGGGGGGCAGGGGGGCGGCCAACGAAGCGAAGGGAAGCGTCGCTTTTGCTGCCCACGTACGCTTCCACCAACGCGAGAGCCAGCAGCTCCTGGAGTTATATGAACGACCGGGGTCGCGAGCGTTGCAGTGCAACTCTGCCCCACCAAGACGCGCAAGGAGCGCCGGCCGGTTCGTCATACGGGCGAGGCGCTTCTTGATCATGTATAAGGCACGCCAAAGAGCCATGCCAAAGGTACCTACATGGCATTGGTGGGTAGTCTTACGCCAAGGCGGGCTGATGCAGTCCAGCCCACGCGGGCGAGCGGTCAGACGGGGCAGGTGAGCTCACGGGAAGGATGGGATGCCGTGCAAAATGGCCTGGGGGAGGCGGAGGACCGTCTGGTACCGGTCATGATGGCTACCAAAAAGAAAGTATTGACGATATCATGCCGAGGGGATCATGCGTGAAAGACCATCATAGCGTCCTCAATGTAACGCACCTCACTGAAACCGCGCTACCACGTGGATAAATAGCAGCTTTCTTCTTTTTCTTCGTTCTCAGGTCGAGATACAGGACCAGGTGAGCCACCGTGGCCTCACCGAGTCAAGATCCCCCCCCAAGCTACATACATACCTAGGTGGTAGTAGAACCAAACTAAACGGGCTGTGAGTGTGTTGGAGTTTCTCCGAGAAGTCGGTGCGACCCTGTCAGTGATCTGCGTCTTCCCCTTCTCGAGCTGGGTTGAACCATACCAATGGGTTCCCGTAAAAAGACTGTGCAACTTTGGGGGGAGCCACGGAGCGTACTCTCGGTCGTTGAAAGCCCTTCAACTTGGCGCCACACAGATGGGTGCGTGGGTAGGTAGTCCGTTCAACGATTCAAACCGATTCCCCGCTTCCATGACTGGGGAGTCCCGGAAACGGCCCATCGAATTCGTGTCGGAAGGATTTGATTTAGATGAGACATCCACACCCCCCCTCCCTTCAAGCAGCTCGCTTCCTGCTCCACTGACCTCTGTATCCCGGCAGATCGTCGCTCGTGTCCACAGTCTACCAAGAGAGCACCCCCGGTACTGCCTCCCAAGAGAAGAATGCCATTGGCTTTTGCGGTTGTCGATTGTTAGCTGGATGGATTTGTGACGGCCCCGGTGACGAGCACTATACCGGGCTTGCTGCGTTCCATCTAGTGGCATCTTCTTGTTGGTTGATGGTCACAAATGCACGCAATGTTTGTCTGTAATCCCCGGGATGGCGATATCACTTGCAGGGATAGGCCTGAACACGATCTCGGGGACAGGGTCGTTGTGGCGTATTATTTCCACCTTGAGTTACATTCTAGCCTTGTCCACCCTGGTCAGGGAGGGTCTGACAACTTCCTCCAATTCTGTTTGGTGGGAGTTTTCCCCCAATCCGGGCTCGCTGGTCGATTCCGTGTGGCCACGCGAAGTCCAACGTTATACCAACAACTTTTCCGAGTTCCCAAAAGAAACTCCGCATATTCCAGAAATGGAATCGTTTCTTGTTCAGGTGGACGATCCTCTGTGTTACCATCGACACTCGAGAGGCGCTGCTACGTATCATTTTGGCGGGCGCCCGCTGTGCGGTCCTATCATCCACTCGTCTCCGGTTGGTTGCCGTCCCATCTTCCGAACCCTTTGATTTGACTGAACTCAGAGCCGCCGGATCATTCGAGGGTTCATGCTTCAAATTCACGTCAATGGAGGGAGGGAATGCGACCTATTTGAAGTTGGTTACGATGTAGGTTTTGTTTCGGCCGAACCGAACCCCGGCTGCCCCTCTCGCCGGTCGCTGTACCATACCTTTACAACCCATGGCTCGGCCAAATAATCACATGCGTCAACTGCTGATGAAATCGGGCATTTTCTATCGCGGCCGCCACATGTGTTGGCGATAGATTAGGGTAGTGGGGAAGGGGGTGGTCCTAGGTAAAGATGGACGGACCACGGGAATTCCCCTTTCCCTCTCTCTCCCCCCCTCTCTCTTTCTGTCTCGCGTATTTTGTTTGTCTTCCCTTTCGGTTCCTTGCCTATCTGTGCCTTTCCGTTTTCTGCTTGTTGGCAGTTGGCCATGTTGGAACAAAGTGTGGCGCGTCAAGTCGCGGTTTCACTTCGGGATGTTGGAGAGTCCGCAGGGTTGCAATCGTCCAGATTAGGATATTAGCAACCGGCCGTCCGAGCGGCCCTTTCCTAGCATGCGGCGGACAGAAACACTCGGTCGCAGTATCCATGGGGGTCTCATGCTTTCAAACAGCAAACTCGGGCCGTGACGAGCCGAAACCCGCGATGCACCCGGTGAAAGGCAAAGGCCGTGAGGAGTTGAAGCTGGAGACGATGAAAGGCCACCAAGATCCACATGCAAAGGTCCAGACTCAAGTCGAAGTGCACACACGGAGCCGCTAGGGTTGGAGTCGGGGGCCCAACATGATCCTTGACTTCGGGAGATTCCAGGAGTGCCGGGCGTGCTCCGCGGACTCGCTCCGATGTGGAACTCTTGGGGTTTGGGGACCCAAGCGACGAATTGCGCTATACGAGAGCGTCGCGCAAATTACGTAGCAATGCCCTATTATCTCAACCCGCAGGGAGACCAATTTTGGTGGCGAACGCAGGTACACCCAAAAGACGGGCGTCGAATTCTAGCTTGCCACCCTATGACGGCACGGGGGAAGCGAGCCTGCAAGTGGTATCGGAGATGGCTCCCCGAAAGACATGCCATCGCCGGATGAGCGCAATGGAGAGACCAATTGGCGGGGAAAGGGAGGGATGGTGTTTGTTCTCGTCACACATGTCCTACACCAGAAGCCATTGCAACGGCTCCAACGGTCGGCCTACTCTAGGTATCGACACGTGGAAATAGCTTGTGCTCTCTATTACCCAGGTAGTGTGCAGTCTCAGCCCCCAAAGGAGCAAGCCGGATCACTGCCCATTCAAGGAAACGTCTGCCGTGCTGGACAGCCGCTTGTGGCGTCATCGCCAAGAGTACATAGCTTCACGTCTATCGAGCATCAAATCCGAGGCTCCCTCACGCCTGGGCAGCTACGTGATTCAGGCAGTGGTGGTGCTCGTCTGCAGCCTCATAGTGCACAGGCGACCTAGCCATCGCATCTTCACCGGCGATGTTGAAGAAGATATCCCATGTATTACAGCGGTCCTTGTTGTGACTCACGCACATGGACGCTTAGCGTCGAGTCAATCTAAACAAGCAACCCTGACACAGAATCTACCAAACGTGTGGTCCGGTTCTTCATCGGAGCTCCATTGCAGCTCACTATCGAGTATCGCAGAAGCCCAAGCAGGCGGTGTGCCAAGGACATGTAAGCTTGAATCTTGGTTCATCGTCACGCGGAGATGCACGTACATAAAGTCAGCAATGTGCAGCCACGTCGCAAGCCTGGCTGCATGCATGCCGCGGAAACTCGCGACTCGAAGCGTTCCGCCAATTGAAACGCAGTTTCTCGACAACCAACTCGACTAAACTGGCCACTGGAAGAAAAATGAAATAACAAAAGGGGGGAGCCTTTAGGCGATCCTAGCGTAACAAATTTGATGGTGTAGCGGAGGGGAGAGGCCCGTCATGCGTGATGCGGGGTTTACCCTGGACGAGCATCTACGGTCATGACCATGACGATGGCAACTCCAACGCTACAAGAGATATGTAGGCGCGTCAATGGAAGCACTCCAAATTCTTGTGAGATCAGAACATCTGATAGTGTATCCATGAATCAAACACGGCGTCAGAGCGGCTAGATTTTGAAGCTGATACGGTGTTGTCGCTGACGACGATTTACGACTGCGGTAACGGCCTTAACTAGCGGCTTAGCAAGCTCATCGCCAGTCTTCTCAGGATTATTGCTCTCATGGCCGGCCAACTTCCGCCTTCATCCTATCCGTCTGTCGCTTCTTGTGCAAGTTCATGGACGTATACTTGAATGCAATGATGCGAGAACCTAGCTAAGCTACTTACCTTTGCGTCAACGCTAAGTAATGGTACGCTACCGTTGACAAAACTTTTCTCTCGTTCCTCATTTCTAGTCTCTGATGGGTTTCTCAAACATGAGACGGGTAGCAGAATGATCAAGGACGGGAAAAGAACAAGGTTTTTAGTTTCTGGAACTAAGGCTACTATGAGACCACGAAGTGAAGCTGGACACATGAAAGTATGTACAGTAACTGGATTCGGTGTACTGAATAACTATGTTGGCATGCATTATGAGCCTTAGAGATTGGACATAAGTCATAGGCCATCACCACGTATTCTTCATATTTGACTTTTTTGTACTTTGCTTGCAAAGAGTTTCTCGGCGAGAGAAATAGGATATAAAATACGATGAAAAAAGAGTAAAGCCCTTCATAAAGGCTTACTCCATATGAACCCAGGTCCCTGGTGTGTGTGCAATATTCTGAACTGTTATAATTTGATACTCAAATCTTACGAAGATATGCTCCGAAGGATATCAAAGATTTGAGCTGTAGTCTTATAGTACTTGTATAGTTTTATCCTACGCTATTTACATTTTCCTCCTTATCCAGTGATATAACAGCTCATACAGTTTCAGAGTAGGTCTTTTTACGTTCTAGCCACCAAAAGAGGTTTAGTCTAGTACACCCTATACACGGAAATCACATGACGTATAGCCTAATACGCAAACACATTTGATCTGTGTTAGAGCTTAACATGACTTAGTGTTGAATAAAGAACGTAATAGTTTAGAGCAGCTGCTGTTACAGGTCTCACTTCAATCGTGGCTAGCAACGATATCAGCTATGAACATAATTCCGGTTGCGTTGAGCCTCACGCCAAAGTCATAACAACTTCAACATTTCAGCCAGGTATGTTTAACGACGGTATTACTAATGTGCCAAACTTGACGACTCCACTGAATCTGTTATCAACGTCGTGAAAACTCGTGCGTCTCGAGTCACGCGGAGGTCGTTTCACTCAATTATCTCCAGGCACCTCGCAGGACACATCCAAGCTTTTACAAGAGCCCGACAGGAAGCCGACCAGCTCTAATTATACAGTGGCTCTCTGCGGTAGATAAGCTCCAGGGACAGGAAATACCAAACTGGATAGAAGATAAATAGAGAGTTGATGATATGGTACGCATGCACTTGCCGATAATCATCGCTTGGCAGTAGAGCTTCAGAGGGCCATGTATCCAGTCTATCTAGCGCGGGATAATAGGCCTTTACTAGTGTGGATTTAAATGGTTCTGGTTCAAGCTTAAATAGTCGATAACAAATGTGTCATGAGTCACAAGTAACATAAGGCGTTAATAACTGCCCCTAATTGACAGCGTTTTCTTTTGCGACAAAATGACAACCAAAAACCTCAAAACTCTACTTAAGGTTTAATAGATGGTATAGAAGACCGTCGAGTAAGCGAGGCTCAATAGACACCGTTTTTTCGGACAAATACTTTAATTTGCGTAGTTCGCTGAACGTCTCACAAGAATTAGGCCTGCGCTCGGTTTCCAGACTGTATAGCTACGTAATAATGGAAAACATTGGCAAATGAGCTTTTTTCAAACCTCATGTTGCAATAGACTTGCTTTGCTGCGAGCAAGGACACTGGAACTAGGGATGGGAAAAGCTACTTGGGCGCTATTGTCGACCTTCGCTATGGCCTCGAGAGTCAAGCCATGGGTTTAAGGGAGAGTAAGAAGGGGCCGTCTTCCTAGCTTTCCATTTTGTTATGGTCTTTGACATTCAAGATACCACACCTCTGACTACAACATTAGCTCGTTTGTAGATGCTTGGTGCTTCTGAGGGGCTGCAGCCAACATCTGGTAGATATGGTGCCGCCCCAAGCCATGCGCATTAGAACTGCTGAAATATTGGTGCATGTCAAGAATCGCCCAGTAGCTTCACTCAAGAGAGGGTGGGGGATGATGCGGTTGAATAGGATTGTATGTATTTGATGCGCGTTAATACAGCTATTTACACCGAACCTGCTTTGTGAAACGGGCTGCCTCCGGCCGAAGCTCATCTCCAGCGACAAAGTGTCGAGGAACGATCATCAAGGCCAACATATGTACATTGAATAAGAGTTTGTCCAATCATGCAACTGTAGATCGAAGACGGGCATAAAAGATTCCCTCCACGGGGCGCAACGCTGCCTTGACTGATCTCAATCCGACAGGCCCGCCATCCCTCATTGTGGTAACGTGTTCCCTCATGTCATGGTCTCGTGCAACGAGAAACAGTTTAGTTGGCGACGACGATGTCGCGAGCGTGGCTACGGCGCTTCTTGGAGCTGTAGACAGCGGGGCCGGGAATGGGGTAGCTGGTGGCACCGCTGTAGATGTCGAAGAGGACGCCCTTGTCGGTAGCAGTGTAGAGGCTGGTGCCGGCAACGCCCGAAGGGTTGGCAGAGCCACCGCCGGTGACTTGGAGGTTGATGCACTGGGGGTAGAACTGAGCACCGTTCTGTTGACCGGCGCTGTGGAGGGCGATGATCTCGTGACGGAGGACGTAGTTGCCGGCGGCGATGTCGCTGGGAATGGTGACCTCCCACTTGTTGCCGTTGCTGATGAGCTCTTCGGCCGCCCACTTACCGCCGCTGAGACCCTTCTCGGAGATCTTGAAGAACTTGAGGTTGGTCTTGGTGGCGGAAGAGCAGTCGCCGCTGCACTTGGCAAGGTACTCGATGACGGGGCCCTTGTGGGAATCGGGCCAAGTGTTCCAGGCGAGGGTGATCTTCTCACCGGCAGCAACCGTGACGCTCTTCTTGCCGGGAGTGGCCGACTTGTGGCAGATGATGTCGGGGTTGTTTGCGGCGCTGGGGGAGACGAAGCCGAGATCAGGCTGGTCGGCGTTCCAGCCAGGGGTCTCCGGCTTCGGGTTGGCGTAAGGAGCGGTCGAGGGGTTGTAGTTGGTGATTGTCTGGCCGCCGGCCGTGATCTTCTCAACGAAGCCGTGGGCAGAGACGGCGGTGGCGCCGAGGAGAGCGGTGACGAGAGCTTTGGCGTACATCTTCAGAGTTGTTTGGTAGGTTGGGGGAAATGGGTATCTTGCTAGCGCGGAAAGAGTGAATGAATGGCTCACAGAGCAAAGAATGAATGGGGTTGAAGATGATGGAGAGCTGAAGAGCAACGGATGTGAAGAATGATGTGAGAAGCGTGCCTAGGAGAGATGCAATACCGCCGGTTGGAACGTCTTTCTTATAGTCGTTTCTGTGCTCCCTTGCCCAGACAAGAGTTCGGATGTCAAGCAAGCCACCTCGTGAACTTCATGGAGTCATGGGCCGCAATCCCGTCAACGGGCCAAGCCCCTTCTCTGAAAAAACTACTGAGTTTGAGCCTGTCAATCGGAGGCCTTCATCACCCGCCCCTGTTTCCTGCCGGCATTCATAGGCGCCGGCAGTGGCAACAATTCCCCCTAAACATGCCCTCCTATTCTAAAAGGAAGGTCGATGTCTTGGTCCGTCGGCTCGCAGAGCATCCTCGTCGGTACACGTGGGCGCCAGCCAGTAGAATCATCGGTAGACATTAAACGCGCGAGAAAGACCACAAAGGCGGAGCGTTGGGGCTGGTCTCGGAGTTCACAAAACAATCTACTTCTCACGGAGGCAGTGGGGCAAAAGTCTCGGCGGGATCGGTGACCGCATCGGGGCCGGGGTTGTGGTGTGGTCAGGCGAGCCATCGGGACGGCCAACGGACACCCGCGTCTAGTGTGCCACTGTATCTGAGCAAAACGGATGACGCTTGTGTCTAAGCCTGGGCCAGTCCGCGGCCTTTGATGGATCCCGACTGATGCAGCATGACACGTGGCGAAAGTCAAGTTGTTTGCCAAGTGCTCAACCAGCGTCAATGGAAACCCGACTAAGCGCCGCATCTATAGTGACCATGCCTGCATGCGTTTGCTCATTGACACAAACTGATGCCGCACTGCGTGTTGAACTCGAGCTATCAACATTTCTTGTTGACAATCGGGTATGATTTCACCATTTCGGATGCGAGTGGCAACTTTTCCTCGACTACGGGTACTCTGGCAGATAGATGTCAAGGGGCAATGTAAAGGCCCCGACAGAAAATCCGGAGAAGGCTGTAGGGATCGGCACTTCTTGCTGCATAGCAAGGGGCTGATGACGATTGTGGCTGGCCGCGGAGCATTTCTCCGTGCGGCCCTTTCTGGCAATCAATTGAACGTGACCAGCAACGGATGCCACAGACGCCGCGGGGAATTTAATTTGCATGCCGCGTCGTCGTTTGTACATCGTACACTAGACAACTCGACCCGATGTTGACAGGTCTTTGAAACATGGGAGAGGCAGGGGTCCCCTCGCTCATCAATATCCAGTCAAGAAGCGGAAAAGCAAAACTTCAATTACCCAGTCTTGCGTCCAGTATAGTCTCTATAGGCCTGGGTTCTTCCTCCGCCTCCCTCGAATCCCTGCTTGGTTCCACCTCAGCAATCAATCCGAGCAAAAATCCGGTCTCAATCCACATGAAAAGGGGGGCGGAACAAAGGGGCCAAAAAGCAAACCAGAGGCCTCGCAGCCATTGCCTTACCACAATGTTTGTTCCAACTCTTTATGCATAAGATTCTGACCAGGAAAACTTGTAAACAAACGCAAACACCAGGGTTGATTCTTCTGTACTAGCGCGGGGACCCCTTGTCTTGATTACATATGTATTCAAGCTTATTGCCCCTGTTGAGTTGTTCTGCAGCTCCGCCGTTGGCGAGGGGTAGCTCACGAATCACCCGCGTTTCTACGGAACCCAATGTCTTCGTGTCAGCATTATCCCAGCAGCAATACTTCAAAATGTAGAAGAAGTAGTCAACCGACAACTTTCCGACGCCAAGCTCAGTTGATTGGTTTCGAACTTGACTATGTATGAATCACCAGCACGAAATAGACCATATATTCAATTTCAAACTTGAACAGCCTGAGAGGGCTGGATTAGAATTGACCCTAAAGTTATTGTACTAAGGCCCGCGAGGTCATCGGGCACTAGGTAGAGGCCTACGAAAGGCCTGGCCAAGTCTAAAGGTGATACTTGATGATACACGGAGCCAAAATTAATGTACCAAGAAACTCCTCTCAACCTCTCAAGTATTCAAATTTCTCCAAGGGAAAAGCGCGTAGCTTAGTGTGTACGGTCACATTGCAAAGCCACAAGTAGCGCGTCGGTCTATAAAGTCGTATGGTTTGCATTTCTTGTGTTTCAAACTTACAGCATTTCCACACAGTAAAGACTAGCAACCCTTGGGCGACTCAAAAATCTCCCATTACCTAACAAGACTTCCTCGAGTTCCCAAAACCCCCCCCCCCTACCATTCTAATCCGAATTTACTTCTTATCGCCAACAGGGACAGGGCATTTAGCAGCCAGCGTAGATGGCTTGGCATGAGTATTAGCAGATTGCTCAACTCAGAAGACATGCACCCCACCACGAAGAGCTTACATTGGGCGAACAGGGTGTATGTGTCGGCATGGTTCAAGTTCTGGGCTGCGCTCAAGCTGCGAACAAAGTTGTATCCGTATCCACCGTAGTCAGAAGTGCCTTTGATCTGGCGAAGATGGGTCATCTCGTGGAGACTATCAGGAACAGTCAGCGCTCAAATCCACCTCGACGAAAGAAGCATCAAGATCACCTACATGGTGGTCTGCTGGTCCTGGGCGTGGCAGGTTGAAGAAGCAGCGGCCATGTTGTTGAAGAAGTAGGGGCAGTTGACCATGTAGTTCTGGGCCGGGACCGTGTAGGCAATGACGCCATTGGAGCAAGCACCGTATACGTCGGTGCAGTACTGGCGAGACACACCAGAGGTGGTACTTCCGCACTCGGACACAATGTTGCGAAAAACCGTGGCAACGGAGTTGCGGGTTGCAGTCGTCGAAGACTTGAAGTACTCTGTCATGCGAGCGACGGGGCCGGAGGCGGCGGCCTGCGAGGCAGCAGCGGCAAGAGCGCGGCAGCGGCTAATGGCGTTGACCTGTTGGTAATTAGTATCATCATAACTTCAGATTGCGCAATCCCAAAGCTCGATATCCCGGAAGTCAAGCAACAAACCAATACCAACTCCGGTACCCGAGCCCGAGATGGGTGCCGAGGGTGGCGACGGAGGGCATCAGAATGGAAAACGGAGGACCCACAGTAGCGGTGCGGCGGGTGCCGGTGCAGTCGGACTGGACGATGGTGCGCTTGGCCAGGAAAGCGGCACGAACGGAGGCGGCCTCGTCACCGTTGATTTCTGTATGGACGCTGTTGCTGGAAAAGGGGATGGTGCCGGCGATCTCGGTAGAGTCGACATCGGCGTAGAGGAAGGAACCCTGAGTGACAATGTCGACGGCACCCCCCTTGCTAAGGTCGTGGAGCTCGGCAGCATCAAACTCAACCTCGAAGGTCTCACCCGCAGCAACGATCTGGAAAGCCTCCTCGGTCAGGCCGGTGGTGGAGATCTGGAGGCGGACGCCGTCAAAGTCGATTTTGCTCCCTGTTTCTGGTCAGCATCAATATTTTCCCGGGACAGACTCGCAGGGCATGTACCGGCGGCGAAGACCTCAACCTTCTCGACGGGGGACTTGTCGAGGAAGGTGCCGGTCTTGAAAAGCTTGATATCGGAGTCACCGGTGTTGGTGAGGACGGCCTTGACACCGGAGTTGCCAAGGGCCTCGAGCTTGACGTTGAGAGGAGACGTGTCGCGCTTGGCCATGTCCACATTGACGGCACCGGCCAATGTGGCCAGCAGGGAGACACCGATAGAGAACTTCATTTTGGCAACTGGGAGGCAGGATCGAGGCCGGTAAGGAGGATGTAGTTGGGGGTGGTAAGACAAGAGAAGCATTCAAAAAGCCGGGCTTCATTCAAGTCTCTTTACAGTTTTTTCATTTTGTAACGTTCATCTCTAGATCCATCCTTGTGATGCCCGTTGGTAGCTAAAGACCGGGGGGTTTCCAACTAAAGCGAAAGAGGAAGATGCAACGGCCGCCCAGCCGCTTGGACGGACTGAATGACACCCTAGAGTTTACATTGGAATGTACATGCCCAACATATGCCAGGGTTGCTGCGACCGTTCTCATCCTAGAATACGACCAGTCCTGATGCTGTCACTGCTTCCATTCGAAGGCATCAATTTTGCGTATTTGACAATACTGTTTAAGAAACGTGAATTCCCACATTTCCGAAGAAAACCAAGAACAGAACTGCCATATATTGACTGCCAGAAGTCCTTAAGAGGTACTCATAGAAGCCTCGGACTCTCGCGAGCTCAGCCTCCATCAACCAATGACTCCGCGATGTTAGCAATCCATCACGGTCGGCAATCTGGTGCCAGATGCAGGCACCCAGTGAGGATTACCAATGACTGTGACCGAAGTTGATGATCAGCGACTCACAGGATTAACGTCAAGCGAAAGCGGACAATGACATATTCACAAAGCTGACTTGCCAAGAGGTTGCCAAGTACACAAGCCGGAGACTAGTTCGGGGGAGGAAGGAGTCAAATAATCATGAAACTACCAAGGTTAATACCTTCTTTTTACGTATACGTTAGCACGATCAATGAAAATGGGGGATATGGCCGTCAAGAAACCATGGTTTATTGAATGAGCCCTAATAAGGCCTATGCAAGTGTATGGCATGCCGTTGGGAAATAGGACACTTCCGGAGGTGAGCACAGCATTTTTAATTATCGCTCGAACTTCGCTACGCCCTCGAAATCTACTAGTTATCAACCATAAGAGTGAGCTTTGGATGTGCCATCGCTAAGTTCGATATCTTATAAACATCGCGGTAACTTTGTCTATAAGCTAAAAGCGCAAGCAACCTTGACAGAGATTCCAAGTTGTCTCCAGCAATCCATGTCTCAATATCACCTAATCAGTAAGTTATTTGGACAGGTACGTAGATACAAAACCATTAAAACTCGGCACTCGACTACCTCTGCAAATATCAGGTCATGTTTTTCGTTTCCACCACTGGGAACCGGAATCCCCAAAGACCTTCCCCCTTAGGTCTGGCGATTGAGGTGCGAGTGGGCATGCCAACTGGAGCTGCTGATCCGTACTCCCTGGGCGTGCCAGGTACGGAGCGGTAGTTGATACCGTAGCTTATTTCTTATTGTCTCTTGGTGCTCTTGGCAATAACACCCCCGCCTCCAACTATCAAGTCCGTCCCTCTCCCCGCAAGAAATTGACTGCAGTCTGCCGACGACAGCAAGCTGAAACACGGCGAGATAATCTGAATGATTGCCGTTGTATTCGGCCCCAAGGCCAATAATGCCGTCTCCTCTGACGCTGGAGCCTTGTTGCATCCATGCCTCAGCGACGACTATCAGAAGAGACAGGTCATAACAGAAGCGAGAAGTATGCCTGTCGACATCTCGGCTAGTCTTGGGGCATGACGGAGGTCTGCGTGTTGAATAGCGGATATGGAGGCTAAGGAGTTTTGCGGTCTTTGCTCTTGAGAGACTGTGCTGTAATTCCCATAAGAAGGGCAAGATCTCACGAGAGTGAGAGGTAATTATTAGATTTCCCTTATTTATTAGGTAGGGAAATTTATCCTGGGTATATTACTAATGTTTACGTAGTAATATTGTCTATTCTAGCCTACTAGGTTATTTACTCTACTATGCCTGATCCCATTGGCAATTCCGTCCAGGTAATTGAGAAAGGCCACTAGCTGTTTTCCAAGCCCATCTGAATAGGTTTGTAGGCTAGCAAGTCGCTGTTTGCACAGATCACCGTACGTACTCCGGATCGACGTCACCACTGAAAAGTGTTGGATGCCAGTTGCGATCTAACTCAATTTTCATAAGAGGGTATGATTGATAACCATGATTGTTTTGGGCCTAAGTGCCTGCTAATATTGATGGGATCAATAATATAGGTAATGCTTGAAAGTTCGAGTGTCCGCCATGGCTATCATGTGGGAAGTCGGAAAGGGTGAGCTTCAGTGTTGAAGACGTATTCATCCAAGCTGATTAGGTCGGGTGAAGAGAATATGAGATAATAATATTTGAGCGTCTCGGAAAGCCAGAAGCTCTAGGAACATGTTGATGTTAGTGATGCACTCGTCACTTGGGACCGGACATTGGCAGCGGGAGAAGGACATACCTCCATAGAGTCTGTTTTCTCGGTCTTATCAGCGGGGGCGGTGACATCAGCAATTGCAGAGTTGGCAAACTCCGTCTTGGTCGCTTTCATGACCGATTGGAACATATTCCAGGCGATATCCTGTAGGTCTTCCTGACCTGTCATCCTATAAAGGAGAAATATGCTTTCGATGGCTTCAGGGCGCAGTATATACCTGGGATCGCGTGCATTCTTGAAGCCTTTCCGCAGTCTTTTGTCGCCTTCCTGCTCCCATATCTTCTCGTCCCAAGGGCACTGCTCTATTGTTGAGAAGCAGGCAATCAGGTTGGATATCTCCGGCATGACACCCGCAGGCATAGCATCATAGGCCCACGCACAACCGCGGGCAAGACGATTGCCGAGCTCGACGTGACTGTCGATCGCAAACAACTTACCACCCAGACCCATCATTCCGCCCGCGAAGCAGGACACATGCTGAGTCTCAGCGATATGATCAACTCGATCCGGGTGAACACGTGCGTCGCCCGCCAAGAGGACATCGACATTGTCCTCGGTCATGGGCCGGAACAGCAGGTGCTGCTCGACAATCGCCATTGAACCAACGTACATCTTCTCGTATGTCTTGTCTAGACCACCAAGAAGGGTGTACATCTTGGGCAGGTACTCGTAGAGCGAATCTGCGAGCGCGCCTAGCGAGAAGCCACTGTCTCCATCGACTCTCTCGTCCTGGAAATTGATCAACTTGGGCCACATGCCAGGAAGCTTAGACTGATACTGTGTGCGATCGAGGAAGCGTATGATGCGCTTGACGGCGTCGTAGTATTTCATATCGCCAGTAAGCTGCGAAAGGCGTGTAAACTCGAGGGATAACGAGCAAGGTGAGGCCGACGGGTCGGCAGTTCCCGCTCGCTGAGCACCCTTCTTGGCATTCTCAAACTTCATCCAGAACCCGGGCATCCGGTTGGGCGTGTCGAATCCCATGTAGAGCATATCCCCAAGCTCTCTCGCCTTCTTGAGAAGGGCCACCTCGCCACTGAGATCATAGGCGCTAAGCAGGCCGCCCAGATGGCGGATTGTGATCTCGAAGATATTGACACTCGTGTCGGTAGTGTTGGCCCAATCCAGCTGGGCAGCTACCTCGGCCGCGGCATAGAATTCTGTGCGGAAGCCCATGATCCACAGCGTGTCCATGGAGTCGACCAGCGAGGCGGCCCATCCTCCGAATGTATCCCTTCCCTGGGCGCTCACGGGCGCCAGCTCGTCGCGGGCCCACGCGTAGCGTTTATAGGCATCGTAGCTCTTCTTGAAGGCGTCTCGAACAGCCTTCTGGCGTTGAGGTGCTTCTGGGTGCGGGTTCACGGGACCGTGGACGTGCTGGATACGGGGGAGCCGAAGCGGTTTACCCGTCGGCAGAGGCGTGATGGGGTCGGAGACGGGATAGAATTGCTGCGCCGCCGACCAATTGAACGAACTCGGGCGGAACTGGACATTTGGCTGCGGTGGCTTCTGCGCCTCAAGCGAAACAATGGCGAGCTCGGACGACCGGTAAGTGCTGTAGAACAGAAACACGACGATGAGGATGAGCAGGGCAATCAAGGTGAGGCGCGGAGTCCGACGTGGTACAATCATTATTCTGAGCGTATTTCCATGGACTAAATCCGTCGAGATGAGGTGTCCATCTTGCTGCAGGGTGACAGGGAGGGATCAAAGGGGACCACACCATATAAATGCACCCAGTCAAGGTTTGCAAAATCGTCATAGCACAAGGATACGATGAAGCTTGACGGCCACCTTGGACGCCTGGAATGCATAGGACGCATGGGACGAGCGCATAGACGAAAACATTGTAGGTATTACCGGCCTGTCGGCAATGGTGGCAACGGGCTGATCAACAGTTCTGTGCTGCGGGTGCTTAGACAAACGACTGACGTCCGAAACATACGAAGACTCACGAACAGATCACAGATCAGATACATGTCTCCCTTATGGGCGCCGAGGCCTGGCTCTGTTACAAAAGAGCCGTAGACACGCGGTCATAGCTTCTAGTTCCATCTCACCCCCCCCTCCAACCTCCCTTCCACCCTTCGACGACGGTAATTGTTTCCGTACTTAAATTAGAGTTTGCTCTCACAACCCGACGGTACGGTAAGGTTTGTGAAGCGCAAGCCGTCCTGCCTTGGCGTGGTCGTTGGCCAAGCGCTTGAAGAAACTCTGCTCTGCCAACCGGTATCTAGCTGGGGATTGAGTAATAAGCCGTCATCAACTAACCTCTTTAAAGATGGGAAAGTTTGGGCTTCAACCCAACCCGCCCGGCTACGCGCTATGGTTCTTGATAATGGGGGTGACCAAATGTCTCCCCACGCGATGTTCTAGCCCAATATAACGCAGCAAGTAGAGGCTGGGATGAAACTAAACCATCAATTCACCGTTACATCCTAACATGAGTGAAAATACATTGTAGAGAGAATCAAACGCCCTTAACCCCCCCCCCCCCCCCCCCCCCCCCCCCGCCGGCACCCGTATCAACATACCCGAATCTAGGTTTCTATGATGCCTCCTGAGTGAGGAGCTTGCTCTTGCCAGCCAAGTCCGTGGCAAGCTGCCTCATCGGCATGTTGGCCATGATGTCAAAGACGCTGATCTCGACCGCCACCTCCTTGGCAATCCAGTTTCTGACCTCAACAGCAACCAAGCTGTCAACGCCATAGGCACTCAACGGCTTTCCCGCATCAACATCGTCCTCGGGCATCATCATCAACTTGGCTAGGCGCTGCACAAGAGCAGACGTGATCAAGCGAACCGCCTCGTCATCAGCCTTCCCACACCGGACAAGCTCGTCGCGGAGCGAGACGCTGGCGGAACCGCCGGCACCGGAGCCCGCGGCCGTCTTCCTAAGACCAGCGAAGCGCTGGTCCTGAATCCAGTACCATGCGTCATCGTGTTCGTTGTAAGGCAGACCGCACATAACCTGGGGAGGGTGCGCTTCCGAGCCTTCTAGGGCAGTCGCCATGAGTCCGTACAGATCACTCTTGTGCATAACCTTGAGACCCATGGCCTTGACGTGGTCGACGTACTCGTCGTGCTCGGCGACGAAACCGACGCTGAGAAGGTACCCAATGTCGATGGTCATGGCACGCAGGCCCTGACTGCGGCGGTAAGCGGCAAAGTAGTCCTGGAAGATGTTACCGCAACCATAGTTGCCCTGTCCACGGTGGCCCATTACACCCGCTAGAGAGCTGAGCATGACGAAGAAGTCAAGCTCTTTAGGCAACAGCTCGTGCAGGTTCCAGGTTCCGTGAACCTTGGGGCCAACGGTTGTACGAACATGATCCGCGGTCATCTTATCAAACAGGGTGTCCTATATTAACTTGTGGTTAGCGATGCAACTCGTGGTAATGAGTTGAGGGTATCGGCCGAACTTACCCTGAGAACCATGGCGCCAGTGACGCATCCCTTGACAATGGGGACGTCCTTAGACTTGAGGTCATCCAGAACTTGTTGAAGTGCTGCCTTGTTTCCAACGTCGCAGTCGTATGCATACGTGGTGGCTCCGTAAGTCTTCTGAAGCTCAGAAGCAAAGGCCTTGTTCTCCTCGCCGCTGGCAGCAGAACGAGACAGCAGAACCAGATGCTTGGCACCCTTCTCAGCAAGCCAACGACCAATCTCCTTGCAAATACCACCGACACCTGCAATGACGTAGGTAGCATCCGCCTGGATACCAACGCGGGGGATCCGGGGAACGGCGGGGACCATGTCGGCGTCGTCGACGCGCACGACAACCTTTCCCATGTGCTTTCCAGCCTGCATGAAACGGAACGCCTTCTCGACATCGGCCATCGAGAACATCTGGATCGGCGCGATCGGCCTAACGGAGCCGTCGTGGATGAGTTTGGCCGTATCCTCCCAGAGAGCAACGGCGCGAGGCGTAGGGTTGTTCTCAAAATCCAACAAGTTGACACCAATGTATGCCTTGTTGTCCAGGAAAGGCTTCATGTCGAGACCGGTGTTGGCAAACAGATCCGCCTTTCCAATCTCCAAAAAGCGTCCAAACTTTGCCAGGCAGTGCCAAGACAAGCGGAGAAGCTCGCCGGCCAGGGAGTTGAGAACGACGTCCACGCCCTGGTCATTGGTGGCTCTCATAACGGCCTTGGCGAAGCTGACGTCACGACTGCTGAAGATGTGATCCTCGGGGATCCCGTATTGGTCCATGATGAGCTGTTTCTTCTCGTCCGACCCAACAGTAGCGAAGATCTCGGCTCCCTTGCGCTGGGCAATCATAATGGCAGCCTGACCGACACCACCGGCGGCGGCGTGGATGAGGATTTTCTCGCCCTTGACGAGGTTGCCGGCAGTGACCAGGGAATAGTATGATGTGAGGAAGATGAGTGGCATGGACGCCGCCTCTTCAAAGCTCATCTTCTCGGGCACGGTAATGGCGCCCTTGGCAGGGAAGCGGACGTATGTGGCGAAAGTATCGCAAGATGCGGTCATTACACGATCCCCGGGCTTGAAGTCCTTGACGGCCGACCCCACACGTGTGACAAGGCCTGATGCATCGACACCGAGCTTGTTCTCGGCGAGGTTTCCCAAGGCGACGAGGACGTCCTTGAAGTTGAGACCCACTGCCTTTACCTCAACCTCGATCCAGTCTTCGGGCAGGGGCTCGTAGTAGACTTCGTCCTCCTCCCATCGAAAGGTATCGAGAAGACCGGGGGTCTTGATTGTGAGCTTTAGGGGACGCCCGCAACCCTTGAACGACACGAGTTCCGGCTGGCCCTTGGCTTCGTACTTGCGAAGAGAAGCGTCGACGTCGAGGGTTCTCTCTACTCGCGGCACGTAGACAGTGCGACCGCGGGCAGCATACTCCCCGTCGAAACCATCGCTGCGGCTGTGGCTCAAGGCTACCTTGAGAACGTTCTTGGCAGCGTCATCAAAGTCAATGCTGCTGGGCGTCTCCAAATCAAGAGTAGCAAGGCGGACTCCTGCGTCTTCGTTGCGAATGGCCCTCGAAAGACCAACCATCAGGGACTTCAGTGGTTCCTGGCAGTCCATTACGGCACCGCCAGTGATCCAAAGCGTCCCAACAGACCCGAGGATGACTTGGCGCAACCTCTCCCAGTTGTTGTCTGTGAGGTCGGAGAGGACTGGGCTCTCCCACTCCGCAAGAGAGAGGCAATACTTTCCGTTCAGCTGGCTGTTGGAAGCGTCAATGTCGTTCCACTGAATAATGGTGACATCCTGGCTCGCAGAAGCGAGTTGCTTCTGAATCGACTGGATGAGCTTATCGGATGCCTCGGAGCCTGTGCTGACAATGACAAACTGAGACGGGCCGGGGATTTCTTGCTCCGGTTTCGTCGACAGAATTAAAGAGACAGGCTCTTTCGAGGTTTCTCGGTCACCACGGATGTCGACGTCGACACCCGAAAACCCAGCCTTTAGCAATGCAGTGTCCCATTCCTCGACGTCGAGGAGAGGGCCACCCGTGCGGCCATCGTCCTCGCCAAGCCACCATCCAGGTAGGGGACCCATAATGAAGCCCGAGAAGATGCGCTTGATTGTGACTTCTGAGAGCACAAGTCTGCCACCAGGTTTGAGCAGAGACTTGCAGTGGGTCAGGGTCTCTTGAATGCTCTTAGTAGCGTGGAGGACGTTAGCGCAGACAATAAGGTCGTAGCTCTCGGGCGTAAACCCCTGCTCCGTGGGCTCGCTCTCGATGTTCAGAGTGGTGAACTCCATGATTGATACATCTTTGGAGAAGCGGTCAGCGGCCTTGGCGAGGAAGCCCGGGGATATATCCGTGAAGCAGTACTTGGCAGCCTTGGAAGTGCCATCTGCATTGCGAAGGCGCTCGAGGACGTGGTAAGTAGTACCACCAGTTCCGGCTCCGATTTCCAAGATCTTGACCCCGGGGCTCTTGTCCGCGATCATTCCCACGTACTCGGCGACATTGGTGTTGAAGCTAGTTCCGAAGGCGCCGCGGTAGAACGAGTACAGAAGGTCACCCTCAGTCATGACCTGCAGGGGCTCGACTTCCCGTGTGAAGATCCTCTTGAGGTTCTCTCCGATGCGGTCGACCATCTGCACTGTGATGTCGCCGCTCTCGGACAGAATGATCCTCTTACGCGCAGCGTCCAATTCCGCCTCGACCTCTGTCTCATCAGCAGAGAGAGGGGGAAACTGCTTGATGGTGTCGCGCATCCACTCAACATAAAGCTTCCAGAAGCCATCTTGGGGTACGAAAGGCTTGCCTTCCTCGCTTTCGAGCCAGGCAAGGCATCGGTAGATGTGTACCAGACAGACGTATTCGAGCTTGTCAAGAACTGATTCATCGTCCTTGCTCTTGAGAGTGCGCCTGTACACCAACTCTTTGATCTGAGAAGGCTCAAGCAGATCGGCATCCTCGTGCCAGGTCTGGCCAAAGCAAGAAGCCCTCGTCTCCTGGGTCTTCTGTGCGTCTCCTTCGCCGACAGAAGCCAGAGAAACACCATCCATGATGATCATGGGCTCTGACAGGTCCTCTGAGATGGTGATAGAAGACTTCCAAGTGGTGTAGCTGGTCTTTTGAGCAGTGGAGCATCCGTGTAGCTTAGTTCCTGGAACTCCCGAAAGCTTAGTCGACACGAAGATAC